ATTGCCTTCATAAGCTGGCCTTGCTTGACCTGTCATACACATTTTTGACCAACTTGAAGCCTGTTTTTGACAGTTGCCCACAGTTAAAGGTGTGTGTGGTTAGTTTGTTGTACTATTTAAATCATTTTTTTAGTACATGTCACATAGCAAATGAAAAACCTTGGCCCAGTATGTTTACTATGTGATTTTAACATATCACTGCTGGTCTGCTGCATATTTTAGAATTGTTGTGTTCTGTAATACTGTTTGAAAATACTTGCGATGAACTTATACAATGTATTGCATTTATTTATTGGGGTGTCTGTAGCAGTTCATTTTCATGCTATCTTTCAAAAATTCTTTATTTTGAGGTTTATTCTACGAGAACCATTGGAAATACATATTTTAATGAATCATTGAAATGGCTATTTTCTGACCTTATGCACTCCTATTGGCAGATCTTAAAACTTTCGGCTTGCAAGTATCTCAGTGATTCATCATTAGATGCCCTATACAGAGAGGGTGCTCTTCCTATGTTGGTTGAGCTAGATCTGTCCTACTCATCCATTGGGCAGACTGCAATCGAGGAGCTTCTTTCATGTTGTACAAATTTGGTTAATGTGAATCTGAATGGATGCACAAACCTGCATCAGTTGGTGTGTGGGTCAGATGACTGCAGTTCTGGTGACATGCCTGTTGATGTTTGTCCACCTGATTCAGCACCAGTGAGGAGTGAAGAGATCAGTGAAAGGTCTGATCGTCTGCTTGAAGTTCTGAATTGTACTGGTTGTCCAAATATTAAGAAAGTCATCATCCCTTCAATGACAACCTATCTACGCCTGTCTAAAATCAATCTTAATCTGTCCACAAATTTAAAGGAAGTGGATTTGACATGCTCCAATCTTTATACTTTGAACCTGAGGTATTATCATTGTGCATTTCTGTACCGCCCAAGGTTTTATGATGTATTATTTACTTACAGCATATACCTGTATCTTTCCCAGCAATTGTAGCTCCCTGGAGGTTCTGAAGCTTGATTGCCCAAGACTGACAAATCTCCAACTTCTGGTAGAGTATTCTTTGGGCATCCTTTATTTGAGCTCTTGCTTCTGCTTCCACCCTTACAAGCAGCTTGCTTTTTCACTGTCCTCCAGAGCCATATCTCCTCTGACACTGGCATAATTCAACTTATACAGTTTGATGGCTTGGCTACTTTGCTTATGGGAGCTTGATTTAAATTTTTTCATTGTGGATTGTGCTTCCATGATACACAATTTTATGATGACTAGTGCTTTGCCTGTATGTATCGACATCTAAAAGAACACAGAATAATGATTTTATATGGTTTAGTTTTTTCTATCCAGGCTTATTAGTCGGTTAATTTTGGGAGGGGGCCGTAGGTGGGAGTGGTGGGCCTGGTTTGGTTTTATGGAGGGTTTTTTTTTTGCGCTGCACTCGTAGGAGAGGGTGGGAGGACGAAGACTCCGCTTTTAAGGTAGTAGAGATATGAGGCAATGTACTAATTGGTTAGTACCTTGGGATGCTTTTAATGTTCAAGATGACTTGTGCTCAAAGTACATTGGTAGATAGTACAAAACCTTGGTTAAAGTCTGGTTGATTTTCTGTTATTGAACTTATGCTGCTTGGGATGATTGACAAGTGTTTGCTTCAGTGCTTAATATTGATACTTTTTCCCTGATCTCAAATGTTTTTTTAACTAATTCGCTAAAGGCACATAATACTAAGATATTCAGTAGATTTTTCATCTAACATAGGAGTATATGAACTGTGCGCAGACTTATACAGTGTTGGGAATTTTCTTCATGTCTCACTTGAATTACTAACTTCTACTCCCTCCATTTCATATTATTTATGTCGCTTTGACTTTTTTTCCTAGTTGCACTTCTTTAGGTTTAACCAAGTTTATAGAAAAAAAATAGCAACACTAAATTAGTTTAATGAAATGTAATATTGAATATATTTTGATAATATGTTTATTTTGTGTTGGAAATGTTACCATATTTTTCTATAAATTTGGTCAAACTTAAAAAGGTTTGATTAGGAAAAAAGTCAAAATAAATTATATTATGAAACAGAGGGAATAATATATGTTCCATATTGTGGTCTTTATTTATGTATCAGCTTAGTCATTGTTTTGTATGGTGCTCTATTATAACAGACTGTTGTTTTTTTTCCAATATCAATCCCCTGCAGGCATGCACCATGTTGCAAGATGAGGAACTAGAATCTGCAATATCGCGCTGCAGTGCATTGGAGATTCTCAATGTGCACTCTTGTCCAAAGGTAAGCATTAACATTTCGAGTGTGTCCTAATCCAATCTTGTGTGCCTGTAGTGTTTAAATTTCTTCTAATCGGTTTATTTTTATTACGAACAGATAAATGTGCTGGACTTTAGCAGACTGCGTGTGGTTTGTCCAAGCCTCAAGCGCATCCAAAGCAGCCTTATCACATAATTTGAGGCTGCGATTATTTCGAGGAGAGTTATTGAGGCAATAGTTTGCATCCGTGCGGCCCCTTCCATGGACGCGGGTGATTCTAGCTTAGATTCAGAAACAACAACAAAAAAGAAGCCCTTCATGGCACTCTTGTACATACTAGTGGCGGCAGCATCACCATTATATTTAATGGCAACGTATATTAGGAGCCAGGGGGTGACGCGAGCCGCTTCTCAGTTGATTCTCGTGCGGTAATAAGTAGTACCATCTAGCTGAATCCTGGTGGGTGTTCGAACTTGTAATTGTTTCTGTTTCCTTTTCTTACCTCCTGTATTCCGCTCCTATGGAGCGATCAGATCTGTATTCCGGTTTACATATGCGTTAATAATCATCTTGGTTGGATCTGAACTAAAAAATGCAATGCTTGATTAAATAGTACATACATGATGTCCAGCTCTGACTGTAACAGATTTGGTCTTCACAGTCAAACTCAAAATGGAAATGATGCTGTTTCCTATCCCTCTGTGCTTGTGCTTGTGCAGCAGCGGGAATGGCACAAGATGTTGACTTTGATCGGTGCTCTGCTCTGAGCTGTTGCTACGCTGGCTGATGAAGAGAAACTTGTATGATATACAGTATCATCTGTGCACTCCTGTCACGCAAGCGCGCACGAGTGCTTTAACATGATTGTTGCGAGTTGTTCGACGATGCGTGCTCGATGCTAAACCAAACGGGAAGACGACGGCGGCCGTCGCCATCGCTCTACCCTGTAACGATGAACCTGATTTTTGGGGGGCCAGTCTGCTATCGCTGCGACCGTGATGCTTTTGGTGATAGAAACTATGAATCTGACATCGAGCTAATCTTCTGTCTCTCCGCTGCGCTACGCTGTTATCAACTGATTACTAGTACACTTTTCGAGCGCGGAAAAAAAAAATGCTCGCATGCACTTCTGAGCGTTTGTCCTAGTATAAGATATGCTCAAGGAGACTTACATATGATTAACATCACAAAAATCTTATTGAAAATTTGTATTGAGTATGTATTAGTATCGAATCCAAGAAAAAATATTGGATCCTCCCATACTAATAGTCTAATTATTAAGTAATATAGCGATTAATATGAACTAAAGCAGGCTAGAAATAGACAAACTATCCGGTATCCGATGTATACCAGGTAAGGTACATGTAGGAGTACCCCTGTATCTATATATGATTGTACGAGAATTTAAATCCTAATCCGTGGAGTGATGTTTCCACCTTTCACACCTTCAGTATTATCCTTGTTTTGATGTACAACTGCTTAGATAGGGAAACATTCAGCCTATTTGGATAAATGGGGACTAATTTAATCCAAAACCCTGTTCAGACGTCATGTGTTTGGAGCCGTGTCAAAAGAGGAAAAAGGGATCACAGATCATTTGATGATCTAAACAAGAACTTCCCTCAGCAAATCGCTCTGGTTGGAGGAAGTAACTGGCTGCCACCGATAGTTTGGACCGTACTTATCATTGACAAGAAAGAAAGAAAGGGGAAAATGACTAATGAACTACCGTGTTTGTGCTTTACAGCTAAAAGGAAATTATGCGCCCCCTGTATATCGTTTCGCCGATGAAGTTTGGCAAAGTTGGCGTCCGATTGGTGGCGTCAGATTTGATGCCTAAGGTTGAATAAGATGACGGTTGATTTATCTTTTAACATTCTATTCGGTCCCTTTCATGGTGCCAGCCTGTTAGTATGTACTACTAGTGATTTCCCGTCTCAAGAATACTTTTAGAAGTTAGTACATCACTTTTTTACATATTAAAAAAACTTTGTTACAAAATAATAATACAAGAAATGAAATAACAATTTCATAGTTTCACTTAAATAAAAAAAAGCAACACAAGTACGACAATATTATGAGATGTTCTTTTTTTTGTTAAGAATAATTTGGGGGTCGTCGGTGTGCTTTTATCAACAATGTCGTATGTTCAAGCCACTAATCGTCGTAGGAAGTCGAAATTGTTCGGTTGTTTTTTTCCGATGAACTTGACAACAATAACTTGTGACAGGTCTCAGTTGTTGTAGGCCATTGGTTTATGGTGTTGTACCGCCTTATACTATTGTTTTAGTTCTCTATATAGGTTTTTATAGTTTTGCTTTAATTTAATTAACTGTGTAGTTGTAAGGTTTTAATGTGTGAGTTTCTTATAAGCTGCGTCAACTCTCTTCTTCTCTAATAAATCGCATGAACTCCCAACCCTCATTGAAGGTTTCTTTAGAAAAGAGAAAAAAACTTATATCCAAATAAAAGTTAATGACATGTAAGATGATCACCAAGTGTTTTGACTTCTTGTAGCCCCCCCTTTGTTAATGTAAACAATAGTTAATCCAAATCATGGTCTCCCTAAATATAATAGCAAGACTGCAAGAGAGAGAGAGAGAGAGAGAGAGAGAGAGAGAGAGAGATGTTGTGGGGTCCAAAGGAGAGAAAAAGGAGGCATTAGCCAGGCTGGCCAAAGGAGGAGTGGAGGTTGAGATTAACCTCTCTCCTCTCCCTAAGACCCTGCCATGCTCATCTAAAATAAACACCTCCCTCCTCTCCATCGCAACCAACAGCTTGGAGCCAAAGAGAAACAATAGCCAAAAAAAAAAAAGCAGCCAGAGCAAAAGGGCAGGACAGACAGGCAGACCGAATAAAATCTCTCCACGACGATCCTCTCCTCCCCCTCCTGCCTATTTCTCTCTCTCTCATACCTTCCGCTACAGAGGTATTTATAGGGAGAGATCGGCGCCAGCATCCCTGATCATATTCAGTTCTGAGTTTTTCTTTTGGCAGGGAGAGGGACAAAGATGAGTCTTTTCGGCCTCGGAAGCAAGTATGATCGATCAACCTTGTCTCTGGTTCTCTGGATTCTGATTAGCTTAATCTGTTCTTGCGTTGTTCTTGGCCATGTCCTGTTTCTTGTTCTGCATCGGTTTCAGTTCCTACCAATATTGTTTTTTTTTTTGCATGTCATGTTTTCTTGTTTGTTTTGTTGAGATGGTTTGCATGTTTGTTATGTGGCGATTTGATTAAGATGAGAGTGCTCTTCTTTTTTGTTTTTGAATTCGTGATCACCTTGATTTACAAAAGCAGGGTGGAATAAACAAACGGTTCTGATCGGAAGAACAATCAGGCTTGCATGTTCTGCCCGCTATTATTTGCTAGTTTTTTTTTTAAAAAAAAAGGTGTTCGTGCTTCGACTGAATTCATTGTGGCAATCAATTCTGGATTGGTCTACGGCCATTGCATTTTACAGACTTTTTCTTCCTTTCTTCAACGGCCTTAGCAAATGCTTAATTTGCCTTCGTATCTGATCTTTTTTTTCAACTTCTAGTTTTTCTGAAATAAATTTCTTATTATTATATTTTGACTGGGAAGCAGGAACCAGAAGACATTCAGGCCAAAGAAGAATGCACCATCTGGCAATAAGGTCGGCGGTTTTTCTGTCAATGATTAGATTGTTATCATTCCATCCTGTCAAAATGTAATTATTTTCATATTTTGCACCAACCATCAGGTGATCACGAACTCTGGAAATCTTTTCAAATGCAACATACCACAACAAACAATTATGCAAAGAAAACTGCTGTGCTCAAGAATTTTATATCAATTAGAATATTTCATACAAACACTATACAGATACACTGTCATATATATGACACAGATTCTTGCAGAGTGAAGATAAAGTTTTCTTCGTGCTGATCTTTTGTGGTGGATGTGATGCAGGGTGTGCAGCTGAAGAAGCACATTGATGCAACCTTAGGAAGTGGTAATTTGAGGGATGCGGTCAGGCTGCCTCCTGGAGAGGATCTCAATGAATGGCTAGCTGTTAACAGTAAGCCTCATACAGCTTATTCCTTGTTAGAAAATGTCAAATTGTTTTTCCTTCTATGCACTAACGAATTAATCAATGCTTTCTTGTTCAAAGCTGTTGATTTCTTCAACCAGGTGAACATCCTTTACGGCACTCTGATGGAGTTCTGCACGCCTACTACATGTCCAACAATGTCAGCTGGACCTAAGTAAGATATTTGCCTCTTTGGGAGATAAATTTGTTTTGTAGAACTTTGTAAATTTACTGATGACAACAACTTTTTGCCAGGTTTGAGTACAGATGGGCTGATGGAATTCAGATCAAGAAACCCATCGAGGTTTCGGCACCGAAATATGTCGAGTATCTGATGGACTGGATTGAGGTCCAGCTTGACGATGAATCCATTTTTCCTCAGAAACTTGGTACTTAACTGTTCTCACCTGATTCAGAGGCCACATTTGTCTGATTAACTTGTTGTTAGGACTATTACTTCTTTATCTGATAAATTTGTTTGCTTTTAACTACTTATTATGCAGGAACCCCCTTCCCACAAAATTTTCGGGAAGTCGTGAAGACGATATTCAAGCGCCTTTTCCGTGTTTATGCTCATATTTACCACACACATTTTCAGAAGATTGTGAGCCTCAAGGAAGAAGCCCACCTTAACACCTGCTTCAAGCATTTCACATTGTTCACCTGGGTTAGTTGCCTCTTGATCTCCCCCTACTCTTATATCGCATTTAATCAATTAGAAGGCTTATTCTTATTAGTTTGTACAATCTTTGAGTATTTTTTGATTGAAAAACTGTAATCAATTTAGATGGAGAAGATAGATAAAATTTTCTGTTGACGGTATTTTGAGCTGCTTGATTTGTTTGGCAGATATGCACTTTCTGATTAGCCATTGTAACTGAATATTTGTTTTCCAAGTAAAAAAATGTGAGATAAATTCAATGCAAAGCTATTTTTTATTTGTATAAATTTAACTATAATGTTCTTTGTGTAGGAGTTCAAATTGATCGATAAGGCTGAGCTTGCTCCACTTATCGACCTAATTGAGTCCATTGTTTCCGTTTGCTGAGATGCCATCGACAAGTGTGAAGACCTTTTTCTTCCTTTTCTTTTAATTTATTTTTCGGGTACAGCAAAGTGTGCAGAAAGAGCGAGTTCATGGCTAAAAGAAATGGCCAAATAAGTCAATTTTTTTCTTCTGATTTTGTGTTCCTTCTCCCTTCTATTCTCTGAATTTAAGAGATGCTTTGTCTCATGAACACTGGGATAAATTCAATGGGGGAATAGAGGAGATTGTTGTTGTTCTATGCTATTTCTTGCATATAGTTATTAATTAAATTCTAGTTACCATGAAAATTCTACTATTGTAATTTAGCATAATCAAACAATTTTGTTAGGGTGAATTTTCATTGAACTTAAAAGTATTTCCACACTAATCAGCACTATCTACACCTCTTGCCCGTCAAATAAATTTCATGAAACTATCACACATTTTCATTGAAAATCATGAAAAGTACGGTTAAATCACATGAAACTTTAAGATATGAAACTTCATGAACTTGAAACTAGAAAACCACAACCACATAACTAATGGTTTATTGTATCCATACCATTACTAATTTATCCATTTTGAAAAACAATATTTGGACCCATATCATTGCAATTTTATAGCTATTGGAGGTTTGCTACTACTTATCCCTTTGGTGTATCCCTTCTTTCTATAAAACTAATGTCCACTAAACATCTAAAGCTCAACATGCAAGCATAATATTTATTAGCATTCATAAAACCTACATGCTTGCATACCACATCAACTCATTAAGCATACAAAGCTAAACATGCAAGCATATAGTAATTATATCTACAATTTATTTCATTCCAAAACTAAATATACACATGCTAAATCATCATTCCCAATATTTCAATTGACTATATTTAATGAAAAAGCACAATCTCATGTTGGCTCTGTTCAAAAAACATTTCAATCCAAATCATTTCATCATTTCTCCAATATCTAATGTATATTTCGCAGCAAAGCGCGAGGCATCATCTAGTTCATAAAAAAATTGGACCTGTTTGCCCTTTTTCCTTTCTCCTCTCTTTCCCACCGGTGGAGTGGTGGGTGGTGGGTGGTGCTGCTCACTATGGCAAGTGCCCCCTACTTACTATGGTCATGCATGTATGGTGAGGTTGGGTCCTGCGGTTCCTTTCTTTTCCTGTCCCCCCTTTGCTCACTCCGGTGGTGGAACATGGCAAGGTTGGGGCCAGAAGTTTTGTCTCATCCTGTATCTCATCTATCTCTTCCTCCTCTCCACTCCGGGTAAGCTAAATCAACAACCTTGCCACTGCTTTTGACCTCCTTTGTCTCCATTCCCTACCTCTCCATTGTCGGATCTACATCACTTTCCCTGATGGGCGCAGTGGCCACGGCCGCGGGGGCTCGCCTACCTACACCCGCTCGGTAGTGGCGGCGTCTCGCACCAATGCCTGGAGTCAAGAAAAGGTCGGTGTTAGGCTAGAGGGAAATGGGGGAGGTGGTCGAACGAGGTTGATATCGAGCTTTTCCCCTTTCCACAGTGCATGCGCTATAGGAGGAGGAGTGGGGGAAGCACGTGATGGCACTGAGGAGAAAGAGGGAGGTGACCCGGCGGAGATGCGAAGGTAGAGATGGTGGATGGGTTCATTGGAAATGGACGAGCGAAGGGAGGGGAAGGAGAAGGAAGAAGGGCAAAATGATCCAAAAAATTTTAGAGTTAATTGGATCCATACCATTGCAAATATGTCGATTCAGATAAATGGCACTACAATTCATCTATTTGTATCCATGCCATTCGAATACACACAAAATTGGAACCATGCCATCGCCATCATGTTTTCCGCCATCATATAGACCAAAATACCCCTAGATGTGAGACCCATATGTGTTCCATCTTCTTCCTTCATTCTTCCCTCTTCTTACTCTTCCCCATCTCCCCTGAGCCAAATGTGGTAGGCGGCGAGGACCACTCAGCTGCATCCACATTGTGGCTACCTCAGTATAGCTGAGACCGATCTTCTCCCTGTCCTCCTTGTCAAGCTTCCAACCCATCGCCGGTCTCTTCGAGTTTTTGCCTTGTTGGGTTCCTGCCCTACCACTGCTATCCCATCGTCCTAATTGACCTCCTGACCAATCGTCATTGCCGTCCCATCCTCGTCAAGCTCCCGTCCCATCGCCACCATCTCATCCTCTTTGATCTCCTGACTTGCTGCTGCTAGCCTTTTCGAGTTCCCACACCATGCCTCATCGAGATCCCCCCTCCACACCCACCACCGGCCTCGTTGAGTTAGATTCAAGCCACCTCCCAGCGCTGCTGCCCGACTGACCTTGCCTTTAGCTCCTTCTCTGGCGGGCTGCTCATGCCGGACCTCTTCCCCAGCGCCTGCTCTCTCACAACGAGGCCGCCACCACCTCCACCGTCGAGCCCCGCACTGCAGACGTAGCTGCTATTGGGAAGAGGGAAGAGAGAGGTGGTGAGAGATGGGGAAGAGATTGGAGAGGGGAGGATGGTGTCTGGGCAATGGTTTTGGCGTCAGCGCCGTTGCTGTGGCTGGCCAGCAAGAGGGTAAAGGAGAGAGAGAGAGGAGGAGAAGAAATTAGGGGAAGAAGATGGAAAACGTGACGGTAGTGGCATGGATCGATTTTTGTGCAAATTCGAATGTCATGGATATGAATAGAGAATATTAGTGACATTTTATTGAAAATGACATATTTGTAAGGAAAAATTATGAATTACCCCCCTCCCCCGCACGAACTATCGTGGTCGACCGAATTACCCCCCTAAACCCAAAAACCAGACATCACTCACCCTAAACTTTCAATACCAGATGAATTACCCACTCGACCCAATCCAGAGTAGTTTTGTCTTACGTGGTATACGCGTCGCAATCCAGTCAGCATTTTTCTTTTTTTATGATGGGGCCCACCTGTCATATATACTATCTCACCTCCTCTTTCCCCTCTTTCCCCTCTTCCTCCCTCTTTCTCGGCCCGCACGGCGGCGCGTGGTGGCGGTCGATCAGCATGCACAGTGGCGCGCTGGGGCGGGTGGTGGGCAGCAGTACGCAGCCCACTGCGGCGACACGCGGCGCAGGTCAAGCGACGGCGGGTGGTCAGGAAGGGACACGACAGTCGAGAAGACGGTAATGTTGGAGGGGCCGAGGGCGCAGGAGACGGCAAACCAGATGTGGGCAGTGAGCGACTGGAAGGAGGAGAAGGGCTTGGCTCCCGGGAGGAGGGTGTCATTGGCGGCGGCCTTGGCGCGGTGACGCGGAGGGCGGGATGGAGAAGACGCTATTTCTTTGGCGGGGTGTCCTATTTCTTGGCGCTAACGGATCTCGACGCCACTGGGAGGGGACCCCTGCGGCACCATGGCCGCTGCTGCAGTGGGCCACGCGCCGCTGCCCACCACCTGCCCTAGCGCGTCGCGTCGCCGTGCGTGCCGAGAGAGAGGGGAAGAGGGGAAAGAGGAGGTGAGAGAATATATATGACAGATGGGCCCATCATTTAAAAAAGAAAATGCTGGCTGGATTGCCACGTGTATGTCACGTAGGATAAAACCGCTCTGGATGGGTCAGGGGGGATAATTCATCCAATATTGAAAGTTTAGGGTGAGATGTTTGGTTTTGGGTTTAGGGGGTAATTTGGTCGACCGCGATAGTTCGGGGGGATAATTCATACATTTTCCTATTTGTAATGACATGGATTTAATTTACCTTAAAAATTTAACGAATGCACTGAACGAGTAAGTATTGACATATCTCAAAATAGCCCTAAAATTGTAATGATACATAGGGCGTTGAATAGTAATGATATTTTTTAAGACGGACAAAGTAATAATGGCATGGATCCACTAACCAAAAATTCGATCGGGTTACAAACTCGCAGCCTGTTCCGACTAGAAGACGGAACGCTTGTTTTTCCCACTTATCTTAACAAAAATGATTTACATTATTGTTCGAAACAATAACATGTAAATCCAAATTTTATTCAAATTTGGGTTTCTTGTAAGGAAAAAGTATACCGAAAGTTCCTCGACTTGTCATCGAGTTACGAAATCATCTCCTAACCGCAAAACCGGATGTCCTATATCTGGTTTTACGGTTGGAGGACGATTTTGTTACTCGATGACAAATTGAGGGACCTTGCCTGTACTTTTTCCTTCTTGGAACTCCAGGTTAGCCTAGGCCCAAATTCAGGGCCCACCAGGCCCACGTGTCTGGCCATTAAAAAGAAGAAACGAAAGAAAGAAAGAAAAATGAAAATAAAAAGAAGAGGAAAGCTCTCTACCCGCACGCCCTAGTCCCCTTCGCCGGCGGCGAGCGCGGCGGCGGCCTGCGTCCACCACCGCCATCGCCATGGAACCAGGAGCTGCGTTGCGCGCTTACCTCCCGGACGATCTCGTCGCCGACATCCTCACCCGTCTCCCCGCCCGCTCCGTCTGCCGGTTCCGCGCCGTGTGCAGGTCATGGCGCGCCCTCGCCACGGAGCGGCAGTTCGTCCTCGCCCACGCCGCCCGCGACCGCGCCGCCGCGGTCCCCATGAATCACCACCACCGCAAGGTCCACCCGCCCTTCTCTCCCTCCCCCCGCCGCGGCGGCGGCGAGCCCACCGTCATGCTCGCCTTCGTGATGATCTGCCGCCGCAACGAGCCTGACCGCTCCTTCTACTTGGAATCGCGCGAGGACGGCGCCTGCAAGCTCCTGGGTTGCTGGGATGGGATGATGTGCATCGATGTCAGGAGAGACTCGCCGGCTTGCCGCGACGGCATCGTGGTGGTCAACCCAATCTCCATGGCTTACGCCGTTGTCCGCAGCCCGATGCCCGATGGCGGCGAGTTCATCGCCGGGTACGCCCATCCGGACACCTTCGCCTTCCACCTCATGTATTGCTGCCACAATCAGGGTAAGGTGATCTTCCAGGTCATCAAGGCTGGAGACTCGCAATGGCGTGAGATTGCTGCAGATCGCCTCGCGATATCTGGGATCGATTTTGATAAGCAAGGTATCAGCTCTGTCGCGCTGCACGGGGGATTGCATTGGCAGCTGCGAACAAATTCAGGACAATGGGTGATGCTGGTGTATGATATGGTCACAGAGAAGTTCAGATCAATAGCCGCGCCGCAATGCGCGATTACTTGGGTAAGAGGACTCTCTGTGTTGTCCGGCAGACTGTGCAGCATTGTCATCCCCGAGTCCATGACCGCGGAGATCTGGGTTCTTGAGGACTATCATGAGCACCGGAGTTGGCATTGCATTAGGGAAATTGACATGGCTGCTTCTGCCGAGCGAATAAATTTAGAGAATTTTTGGGATTCAGACTTGAGGATGTTCCTCAAGGTGGACGTGGAGCAGGGTATTGAGCATGAGGTTCAAGAGATCATAATTCACCATGGGAACAAGATCATCTCGCAGCCCTGCTCTGTTTATGAATTGCGGCGCAATGAGGCTGTCTACAATGTTAGGCACAACGTCTGGCACAAGAGTACGATGTGCTTTAATGAAGAGTCCATCATGTACAAGGAGAGCATTGTGCCATACCAGATGAGCTTTGGCATGAAGTCACAGTTTTGTGAAAGGAAACGTGGTGCCTTGCAGTTTTCTGAAGGGCAACATGTTTACCATCTTCCTCTTTGAGTAGCTGAGAATGAACTTACCTATTAGCTATATATCTCTTCTGCCTAAGAACATTATCATGTTATTTTACTGATTACATTGATCCATCGAACACTATTTCTTACTGGCCCTCATAATGTTTTCTCATGGGCCTCGTGCCCTCGTAAGGTTTTACCATCAACTCCATGGCGCAAGCGCCTTGTGTCACCTGAAGTTTAAGTAATTCTCTCGTATGTTTGTTTCTTGCTGGATGATGCTAATAGAGGATAAAATAATGTATGTTCAAGCTTTCTGTCTTTTCAAATTCGGGTCACATTGATAAACTTCATAGGCCTGTTCTGCACTATTTTTTTCATGACTATATACATACTCCTTTTGTGGTTAAGAAAGAAATATGATCATATACTCGACTGTTCATCCATTGTCATCGTGAAAGTTTGATCCACCCTCCCTGCAAGCTTACAGATAATTTAGTTCTGTATTCAGTTGGTATTGATTCTTCCTGAACTTGATGTATTTGATTTCTCTTTCATATAACACATTTCTGTTTCTTTTTGGGGATCAAATATTTACCCCAGGTTATTCTGCTTTCTGTAATTTATTGTTCTGTCCAGCAACTAAGATTACAATACTTGATCATTGGGATGTTTGGTTACATATATAGATTAATAGATGTTCTAGTTTTTACTTCATATAAGTTTCAGCATTGTAATGTATGCACCGTTATGATTATTTTCCTTGTGTTGGCATCATACTTGAGATTGATATGATCAAAGAGTACCAGACAGCTGAACATGTTTATCATGTCCTCCTTTTGCATTCTCCTTGCTCGTTCAGACGTTCGCCAGTTGCTGTGGCAGCTTCGTTTGTTGCTTTGTGTGTAACTAAACCTCAGGTTAGGAGGTACCAGGAACAGTGAAGAAAGAGTGTATTATCCAGTAGTGGCTAATTTCTTCGGTGTAATGGAAATTATATAAGCCTAGGATGCATATAGTTAAATGAAAGTAAATGAATTAGCCAATCTTGGAGTGATATTCTTCATTTCACACCGGTCCTCAAATTTATAGAGACGGATTTATAGCCAATAAATATAATGATTAATACCGGTATTTTATCTTAAAGAATAAGTATGTCCTCCCAATAATAGCTTTGATAGTGGCAACTATCCACCTTGAATAACTCCCCGTGTCGCTCTTATGCGGGTGGCTCGGGGGGGGGGGGGGGGGGGCACCCTAGCCGCCTGCGCCTCCACTCCTTCCGGCCGGTGAGCAGGGAAGGCGGCGGCGAGGCATTTCTTCTTCGTGGCGTCCCCCTCCTCGGCACGACGTGGACGGGGCGCCATTCCCTCACCAGCATGGTCCGAGGTGGCCACGGCAGCGAGGTGTGGGGAGGCGGCGGATCCGGCGCCCCAAAGGCCGGATCCGGCCATCCCTCGCTTGGATCTGGCGCAGCGGCAGTGGCTGCGGCTCGGCTGGCCCGGCTCGGGCACGGAGGCGGCGGACTACTGCGGCTCGGCGTGGAGGCCGCAGGCGCCTAGGGCGGCGGTGGCATGCCTGGCCCATGCAAGGAGGCGGCAGGCAGCGCCGCCTACCAAGGGCGGCAGCGGCGCCCCCGCTCACCTGCTCGGCCCGGTCGCCTGGTGGCAGCCCAAGACGCGGCCAGCGTGGTTCGCCGGTGCGCGAGCAGCCCCTTGCATGCGGTGGGTTGTCTTCCTCGGCGGCCAGGCCTCGGTGGCTGCTCGGCGTCAGTGGCCGGGCAGCCGGGATGCTGCCGCGGTGGCCAGGTGAGGTGCGGCAGCCGGACAACGGGGGCACCGGCGAGTGGCGCCGATCTGGAGCGGCAGCGCCACCGGCGGCTAGATGGCAGTGCAAAGGGAGCTGGCGGCGGTGGGTCATCTTCCTCGTTGCCGGTTGGCATCCTCGCTCTTCCTTGAGCTCCTCCCCTTCTTTGCGGGGAGTTTCTAGATTGGATTAAGGCAGCACTCATCAGCGGGGGAAGCTTAGGCTGTCGAAGCAATGCCACCCCGTCCCGGGTTCTCCTTCGGCCAAAACTGGCGAGGTGGCCGGCGGGTGGTGAAACGAAGGGGTCCTGGGCCAGCTCTCAGGGACAGTGGTTTGATGGAGTCGGCTGACGGAGGGACGTCGGTGTGGTGCGGTGGAAGCTGTGTGCTACCATCTATCTATGTGGTGGTTCTGAGTTGGTGGACGGTGATCTGCAGTTAAGGTTGTAGGGTCCCAGGTAAAAGGCTAGTCCGGTGGTTCATCGGACCGGCAGCGGCTACGCCTTCAGGCATCGTAACCTCCTTGGGGCATTGTCGAGGGTTACCCTCTCCCTTTCTTGACGAGCATCTTTGGGTGAAAATCACATCTTTTTAGATGGGCGATGGTGACATTCTGGATGTCGTGACCACTGTGGTGACATCGTTTTTCGGAGTCTCGTCTATGTGGTGTCGCCGTAGGCCTAGCGGCGTTCGGCTACGCTTAGCGGGGGTCGTTTGGTGCTAGGCTTCACCCTTAGTGGTTTGTGCTTGGGTGGTAGCGCGCGGTGTATGGCAATACACCTATTGTGTTGTTTTTTCTTGTAACTTTTACTCTTCTTAATAATACATTCGGATGGCCTACTTCAGCCTTCCCGATGAAAAAATAATAGCTTTGATCAAACTTAACAAGTAAAAAATACAACTAATAAGGCCATATCTGCCGCTGCTGCCCCTTTGTCGTTGTCGGCCTCCTCCCCTCCAGCTAGGTCTAGAGAGGCATTTTTTTTTAAAAAAAAGAACTGTTGTGAGACACTCGTGCTGTGTCGATACGGTTTCAATAGCATCTTTTCTTTTCTTTTTTTTCAAGCAGACATTTTGGTCTCGGCTCTAAAAAAAATTTACATGCGGGCCTAAAAAATCAGAGTATTTTTGCAAATGAATATCTTTTAGTCCCATATGTAAAAGTCAATTTTTACAGGCGAGGCTAGATCTATTTAATTCTTCCCGTTGTTTTTATGAGCATGACTTTTCTAGTTCGTCCGGAAAAGTAAAACGGAGGTGTTGAGAAAAACCTTTTTTAAGTGTTCCCAGCCGCTTACCGAGGCCATCCGCTCGTCACCGTTTTAACAGCTAGCCATATGCCACTTTCTTGGCTAGAGACGATGCAGAACAACAAAAAAAAAAGTGATCAAAACATAATCGAAAATGATGGAAACGGTCTAGGGAGTAGGGACACGACTGTTTTTTTTTAACGACTGGGACACGACTGTTTTGATCGTAACATGGAATGCAACATGGGCTTCTGATTCTGCTTTGATCGTTTCCATCGTATTTTGGCTGCAACACACACGTTCAAAACGATATGCTCCATTCGTTTCAGGTCATAAGACGTTTTAACTTTGATTAAAATCAAAATGCTTTAAGTTTTACTAATATTGTAGAAAAAAATAATAACATTTTCAACCCAAGACAAATTTATTATGAAAATATATTCAATTATTGATTTAATGAAACTAATTTTGTATTATAAATATTACAATATTTGGCTATAAACTTATTTAAACTTGAATTAGTTTGATTTTGATTAAATTTAAAATGTTTTATAACATAAAATGGAGGGAGTAGATCGTATTGGCTGGAACTTGGGCTTGGGCTTCCTTAGGAAAGGTTGGAAATAAACACACATGGTCAAAACGATCGTTTCCATTATCGTACGTATTGGCTGCTACACTCCTGAACAGACTCAGAGACGGAGCAACGGCTACCGTTGAAACAGACCCGGGAACAACGTACGAAGACCCCTACAAGGAATTTTTGTAATCTAGCTACTAATGGTAAGCAGTAAAAAAAACAATCAAAAACGGCTTAGAGTCGGCCGACGGACAACTAAAACCAAACTGAACTAGGACAAGGGCATATTCCTACTCCTACTCCCCTTCAATTTCCCCCAAATTGAATTCGAATCAAACGACCGCCTCACTCCCACAAAAAAAAAGACATCTCATGCCACCCCAAAAATACACAGCCCTCACCACGCCACGCGCGAGCACCGCGACCGATCATGACTCAGCTAACTCTATCTCTCTCTCTCTCAACCTAACTAATCCTCTCTCTATCCCTCTCCCGATTGACTACAACTCCGACCAACTAGTTATCATTAGCCATGGGCAGAACGGCCGCCGGTGCATGGGGACAGCGGCGGCAGCGGTGGAAGCAACAGCAACGATGGGAAGTGGAAGGGGAAGGAGAAGGTGGTGCCGGAGTACGGCAAGAACCGGCACGGCATGCCTGTCGGCTTCTACTTCGTCCCCAAGGACCTGGAGCTCCTCGCCATCCTCATGTGCAAGCTCGTCCGAGGCAAGGTCCCCGGCGCCCTCAACAACGTCTTCAAGCATATCAGGATATTGAATTCCACCCCGCCCTCCTCCATGGTACGCCCACTTCGCTGCCACCTTCTCTCTACTTTTCTCTTGTTGTTTCCTTCATCATCAATATTTTAAATAGTGAGCTAAGACATTTAGCGGTTGGGTTTCTTAAATAACTATATCTATAGTGGGTTAAATGGAGCTATTATAGTTAAATTGTATATGAAAGCAAATAGTTGGACCCTTCTTAAACATTTATAACTGAAGAATAGCAACAGCTATAGCTGAGGATTTAAAACCATGTTCATCAACATCTTCTTCTCTGGCAATGGCGTGTGCAGAGACGTATATCGAGACTATGGAGGACGGGTACATCTATTTCTTTAGCAAGAGGCAATTCGCAACGAAGGCTAGGAACAAGAGGCGGCCGATGAGGGTGGCAGACGGCGGGACGTGGAAGGCGTCCGGTGGGAGCAAGAAGGTCGGTGGCATCGATGTCAGTCAGAAGTTCACCATGGTGTTCTACGAGCGTAGGTTTGAGGGCGACCGAAATCCCGTCAAGACCAACTGGGGCATGCACGAGTTCACCAAGATCATTCCTGGCACCAAAAACTAGGTAGCACTTGTTAATTATCATTCCTGGCACCAAAAACCAGGTAGCACTTGTTAATTTATATTTAAATTCAAATCAGTATGCATATATACATTACATTATGATATATATCTAAACATTGTATTTTGTCTTGTAATTAAGGTTCCATTATACTCCCTCCATTACATATTACAGGTCGATTTAACTTTTCCATAGTTAAACTTTTTAAAGTTTGACCAAGTTTATAGAAAAATTTAGTAGCATCTAAAACACCAAACCAGTTTCATTAAATCTAACATTAAATATATTTTGATAATATATATTTTTTTATAAATTTCTTTAGTCAAACATTAAACTGAAAAAAGTTAAAACGAGTTATAGCATGAAACCAATAAAATGGAGGCAGTATTCATGTTCAAGCGGATTGATCGAATTCCATTCTTTGAATTTGAATTTCGGATGCAATTTGTGCTAATTTGGCTTGATAACTTAATTATGTGGATTTTGGCCAAGCTTGAGGACCTTGCCGTGTACCGCGTGTACAAGATCAGAAGGAAGGAGGACACAGAGCCGGTGAACGCCGCCGCCGCGGTGTCGAGCACGGACGAGCCCTCCACGCCGGCGGCACTGCCACTGCCTACGCCACCGCCACGGCCATTGCCGGACATGGCCGGATCGTCATCGGCAACGTCGCTACTGCCACTGCAATTTCCAGGCTTGGCTGGGTCGTCGTCGACGATGCCGCTGGCACTGCCACTGCAGCTGCCTGGCCTGCCCAGGTCGTCGTCGGTGATGTCGCTGCCGGGCTTGGCTGGAGAGATGACGTCCATGGGCCATGGCGAAACAGGCGAACATGGCCTCGACGTCACAGGCATCAACACCGTCGTCGGAGCTCCCACAAGACTGGTACGACGAGTACGAGGTCGCGTACGGTGCCGTGGCGCCGCCGGCTCCTAGCACGATCAGCTGGGCGGCGCTGCCGAGCTCGCCGACGGCGTGGTGGCCGCCATCGAACGGCGGGCCGATGCAGCACGACGGCTACCTCGGGATGGCGGATCCTGCGTCGTACACGTTGGAACACCTGTTGCCCACCGCGGCGATCCCGCCAAAGCCGATGGCGCCGCCGAAGAGCTCGCCGGCGCCACCACCAGCCGTCGGCCACCACCGGCTCTCGCCTCCGCATGACGCCGCCGGCAACTACGACCACCTGGAGCTCGCCAACTACGGCGGCGTCCGGCGCAGCACGAGCATCATCATCATCATCCACAGGAGCTTACGGATGGCACGGACGGCGACGGTGCCATGGCCGACGGCGACACACAGCTAGACGCCGCCGCCGCCGCCGCGGAGTTTGATTCCGAACGAGTAGCCGAAATAGTATCCCAAATAATGGACGGTGAATTCGAGTTTAAATTCGACGACGACACCATTGTTAGCTTCAACGAGGTGGTGGCGGCGCCGATGTTGATCGACGGCGATGGGGACGGCGACGGCGATGGTGCAGATGGAGGTGTTGGAGATGATCCATTCGAGAATTAGGCCCTGCGTTTGGAAACCGCTGGAATTTTCAGTTTTTCTGAATATAGAATTATGCCTTCAAATTTACTCGTTTTTTGTAAGTTAATGTTCATATTTATTATGGCTGCATGTTTTTTAGTCTGTTCAGACCTTGTGTAATTGTACTTTACTATGCAAGCCAGGATGCAATTGTCATAACTAATCGAGATCTACTGTTGATTATTCTGAATTGCTCGAGCATGATTGCATTTTGGACAAAATGAATTGCCTCTCCGCGTCAGTCGAGTTAGAATAAATACTCGATAGATGAATAATCCATTTATGGGCCATAGACAAAGGGGTTCATAGCTATTATTTTACTATTCAGGGAGAATTCATATCTGGAAAATAGCAACATGTTCTTTGCTATGTGTAGGCATGCATAAGGGGGACTAACAAGAAAAAAAAAACTTGCCCAAGCTCCAAATTAGCCTATAGCGACCATATGAAGTCATGTGTTGCTTTAGAGAGTGTATATAGGATATTAAAAAGGAAAAAATACGAATTACCCCCACCCCATCCGAACTATCGCGGTCGGCCGAATTACCCCATGAACCCAAAAACCAGACATCACTCACCCTGAACTTTCAAGACCGGACGAATTACCCCCCTCAACCCAAACTAGAGCGGTTTTGTACTAGTAGCAGATATAATCAACATTTTCTTTTTTTAAATGGTGGGGGCCCACCTGTCATTCTCTCTCACCTCCTCTTTGTCCTCTCCCCCCTTCTCTCTCTCTCGGGCGTCGTCGGGCACGGGCGCGAGTTGAGCGGCGGTGGGCAGTCGACGTGCAGGGGCGGGTGGTGGGCGATGACGCGGGACGTGGAGGCGGGATCCCTCTTTGTCCTCTTCCCCCTTCTCTCTCTCACACACTCTCTCTCTTTCTCTCTCTCTCTCTCTCAGGTGTCTTCTTGCGCAGGCGTAGGTCGAGTGACGGCGGGCTGTTGGCACGTGGGGACGGGTAGTGGGCAACGACGGGGGAAGCAGAGGCGGGAGCGGAGAACTCCAGGAGGGAGCCAGAGTGGTGGCCCCTGCCTCCATCTCCTCCCATCCTCCTCCCCCCTTCATGATGCTAGCGGCCACCGCGGTGGTCAGCATCCTGGAGGGCACTGCCGGCGGGGTGTCCTATGGCGGAGTGTGCCAAGTGGGATGCCGAGGGTTAGCGGCTGCCTGTGTCAAATTTCTTCAGTGCTGGTGTGTCCGAGCTTCGCGCGCGTCGGGACGGCGGGGAAGGAGAAGGAGGAGCGGGTTGTATCCGGCATGTCTGAGCTCCAACGCTGCTAGGAGGGTCGCACTACGATTCACCATCGACGCGCCGAGCAGGCGGCTGGTCGTCGTCTATGCCGACCAGATGCCGTGGTTCAGGTACTCCGCTGTGGCCGCCCACAACCCTGGCTCCCTCCCGGAGTTCGCCGCTCCTGCCTCCATTTCCCACGCTAGCGCCGACCGCCCGCCCTCGCTTGCCACCGCGTGCACTGAACGCTCGCCGTCGTGCGGCCTGTGCCCACGCCCGAGAGAGAGGGAGAGAGATAGAAGAGGACAAAGAGGAGGCGAGACAGCATGACAGGTGGGCCCCACCATTAAAAAAAGAGAAAATGCTGATTGGACCTACCACGTGTACGCCACGTAGGACAAAATCACTCTGTATTGGATGGAGAGGGGTAATTTGTCCGGTATTGAAAGTTTAGAGTGAGCGATGTCTGGTTTTTGGGTTCACGGGGTAATTCGGTCGACCGCAATAGTTCGCGGTATACTTCGTACTTTTTCCTACTAAAAAATATTCCATTCAAAAAGAAGTGACCTTGAAATATCAAATAAATATGGTCCTGTAAAGTGATTTGCTTTCAACAATTTTAGGCAACAAATTATAGCAACGTAACATAAGTACAACCATTAGCATTCACAAGCTCATATATGAACTTCAAAACTAGCAGCGCTAGAACACTGGCTAAAATCTGATTTTTGTGATTCATGGATCGGTCTGATGAGGAGAGGAGGGATGAGTCGCCGGTTACTTGATTGGCGCCCTGCTGGCTGCTGGCGCGTGAGAAATTAACTGAGAATGAGATCGAGGCGGATCGGAGGTGCCGACGTTGGGAAGATTGCGATCGAGCGCCAAAGTAATACTCCCTCCGTTCTTACTGATGCCGTTGACATTTTAAATATATATTTAACTGTTCGTTTTATTTAAAAATTTTTATGAAATATGTAAAACTATATGGGTACATAAAATTATATTTAACAATAAATCAAATGATAAAAAAAATTAATAATTACTAAATAAGATAAACGGTCAAACATTTTTAAAAATATTTAGAAACAGTAACAAACAGATAAAGAAATGGGAAGCTGCATGCATATGCTCTCGAAAGGAAAGCGTACGAGCGATGTACGGACTCAAGAAACTCCCAGGAGAAAGTGTGTGGGAATCGGAAGCGGATGTGGAGGAGATCAACGTGCGCCGGGTGGCGCCAAGGGAGAGTTCTTTTTAATAGTACTATAAAAAAATACCCCTACGTTGCAGTGGGTAAATTAAAATTAGGGGTTTAGTTTATATGATATGAGCTCTTTAGGAAAATCTATTCCTAATGAAAATAAAAAAGTTCAACTTAAGGCACCTCAAGTGAACTTATTTCGTGCGGAGCATACACGCGGCCCATGAGACGGCCAATAGTGTGAGTGGCCTGGGAACAAATTCAGGGACAACTTTAGGGACATAAAGTGAACTTATTCTGTGAGGAGATTACACACGGCCCAATAATGTAGGCGGTCTGGGAACGGCGCCCAGCCCGACATGGGAGAAGCTAGCCGTCCAATTTGATGGACGGTCCTGATTGATTCCGACCTATATAAAAGTTCAATTATTATCCAAACCCTAGCCCTAAAACATTTCCCCTCCCCTGCTCTCTCTCTATATCAAAATGGCAGCGCCTCTTCCCCTCCGCCGCTCCTCCTCCTCCTACCCGGGGGCGCCTCTCCCCCTCCCCGGCAGCGCTGCTCCATCTCCCCCTCTTCCTCCTGACCGTCCTTCCCCTCCCCTCTCTCTCGCCTCCCTCGTGCGACGGATCTGACGACGCAACGGCGGCGCCGGCGGCGACCGCGGGTGGATCTGGCCATGGTGGTGGCAGCCAAGGACAGATCCGGCGGTGGCGGTGGCTCCCTCCGACCCCTCTCGCCTCCCGCGGCAGATCAGACGGTGGTGGTGGTGGCGGCGTCGGCGGCGATCGTATGTGCATCTAGCAGTGGTCCGGTGCAGCAGCGGATTCGGTGGCTGCTGCTCCCCCTCCCTGGTGTGGCGATGCGGCCGGGAGCGGCGGCGGGCTTAGGAGCCGGCGTGACGGAAGGCGGCAATGTCGACGACAACAACAACAACGACGACGATGACCATGAGGAGGGCGGCCGAGGGAGGTGGCTAGGGTTAGGGTTTGGATTTTATTTTTGATTTGGGATATTGATTTTATGGGGATTCTTGATTTTGATTTGGGATTGCAATTGAGTGATTTCGATTGGGGGCAAAGGGGTTGGGAGCAATCAGCTGATTTGCTCGGGGATATATTTTAAAGATAGACTCGGACTCAAACGATGACGACGGACGAAGCGGACGATTGGAAGCCTTACGTATTTTCTTACCTATTTTTTAAGTAGGTATAGATTTATCGCCCTTTTTACGGACTTTTTTTTCTCCGCGTCAAATTAAATCGGACTTTTTTAAAAAAAAAATTGCCTTTTTTGTTATTACGGATGACAAAACGTTTTCATTTTTTTTATGGAATCGGACATCCATTTTTTTAATGTTGCGCGGACCTTTTTTTTTCACTAACCCCTTTTTTTTATACCGGTTTATACGGACTTATTATAATCGGACAGAAACCTTTTTGTTGGCACTATTTGTTTCCTTTTTTCTGGGAAGACGGAAACTATTTTTTCGCGCGTGTTTTTCCTTTTTCCGGTACGGACGACGGAACCTTTTCCCACTAACTTTTTTTGAACGACCGGTTTATGCGGGCGTTTTTTTAATCGGTCATAAACTTTATTTCGCACTTTTTTTTTGTTTTTTTACGGAAGACGGAAACTTTTTTTCGTGAGTTTTTTTAGGGACGATGGAAATTTCTTTTATATTTTTTAAGTATATAAGTAGAGACAGATAGGTATAGATTTTGAAGCGCTATTTTTAGTTAACACGTTTTTTAAACTGTTAAATGAAACGGATTTTTTAAAGATCTATATAGAAGTTGTTTAAAAATTTCAAATAAATCAATTTTTTAAGGTTATAATTATTCATGCTAGCTTAATTAATTATTAATTAATCATGTGCTAATTACATGCCTTAAAAATCTGACTTCAAGACTGCCAATCGAAGGCAACCTGAATCGGATGTTTTTTCCTTTCTTTTTACGGATGAGAAGTTAGTCGGACGCTTTTTTTTTTCTTTTTTTAGGAGTCGGTCTTTTTTTTCATTTTTTTATGACATAAGTTTCTTTCTCGCTCTTTTTTCTTTTAGTTTTCACGGACCAGAAACGAGTATTAATTTTTCAGTAGTAGCAGTAGATTAACATACGCGCAAAACATTATTCACCAATTAGTATGTTCGCCTGGCTGTCATGTTGCACGCCACAATTGGAAATAGAAGCCGGTCTCTTACATCATATTTACATAGTATTCCTACTCTTACTCCCATAAATTTCCTCCAAATTGAATTCCAATCAAACAGCCGTCTCATGCCCTCCCCTCAAATATGCCGCCCTCACCACACCACGCGCGAGCACCGCCGCGACTGATCACGACTCGGCTAGCTCTCTCTATCTCGCCGACTAATTAATCCTCTCTCCTTCTCCTGATTAACTACAATTCTGACCAACTAATTCCCCCGCCATGGCAGAACTACCACCGGAAGGCCGCGGCGGCGGTGGCAACAACAATGGGAAGTGGAAGGGGAAGGAAAAGGTGGTGCCCGAGTACGGCAAGAACCGGCACGGCATGTCCGTCGGCTGGTACTTCGTCCCCAAGGATCTGGAGCTCTTTGCCATCCTCAAGTGCAAGCTCGTCCGCGGCCAGCTCCCCGGCGCCCTCAACAACGTCTTCGAGCATATCAGGATCCTCGAATTCCACCCCGCCCTCCTGCATGGTATGCCTGCTTCACCGCCGCCCATCTACCTCTCTCTTTCTATCCCCTTCATCAATAACCGTCCTCTTCTTCTTCTTCTTCTTCTTCTCTGGCGACGACGTATGTAGAGATGTACATCAAGAACGAGGAGGATGGGTACATCTACTTCTTCAGCAAGAGGCAGTTCACGACGAAGGCAGGGAACAAGAGGCGGCCGACGCGGGTGACAAAGGGCGGGACGTGGAAGGCGTCTGGCGGGAGCAAGACAGTGAGGAGCAAGAAGGTCGGCGGCATCGACGTTGGCCAGAAGCTCACCATGGTGTTCTACGAGCGCAGGTTTGAGGGTGACCGGAACCCCATCAAGACCAATTGGGGCATGCATGAGTTCACCAAGATCATTGATGGCACCAAAAACCAGGTAGTCCTTGTTTTGATTTACTTCAAATTTAAATTTAAATCAATCTGCATTACATTACAATCTACTCCCTCCATATTATAAGTCATTTTGAACTTTTTTTAAGTTGAACTCTCCAAGTTTAACCAAATTTATATAAAAAAATTAACATCTACAATATAAAAAATTAGTTTCATTAAATGTAAACATTAGATATATATTTTGATAATATGTTTGTTTTATGTTAAAATTATTGTTATATTTTGGTTAAACTTAAAAAGTTTTACTTAAAAAAGTCTAAATCGACTTGTATATAATATAAAACAGAGCGAGTATATTTAAACATTATGTTTTGTTCGTCTTGTAATTAACTGATTGATGCTCAAGTGGATTGATAGATTTTTTGTTGTTTGAATTTGAATTTTGGATGCAATTTGTGCTAATTTGGGCTGATCAATTTCTGTGGATTTTGCCAAGCTTGAGGACCTTGCCGTGTACCGCCTGTACAAGATCAAAAGGAAGGAGGACGAAGAACCGTCGAACACTGCCGCCGCGGCGTCGAGCACCGACGAGCCCTCCACGTCGTCGGCATTGCCACCTCCTACGCCACCGCGGCCATTGCCGGACATGGCCGGACCGTCGTCAGCAACGCCGCTACTGCCACTGCAATTGCCGGGCCTGGCCGGGTCGTCGTCTGCGATGTCGCTGCCTGCACTGCAGCTGCCGGGCATGGCCGGGTCGTCGTCGGCGATGCCGCTACCGCCACTATCGTTGCCGGGCCTGGCTGGAGGGATGATGTCCATGGCGGACCAGGCGAACATGGCCTCGACGTCGCAGGCGTCCACACCGTCGTCGGAGCTCCTGCAAGACTGGTACGACGAGTTCGAGATCACGTACGGCGCCGTGGCTCCGCCGTCTCCTAGCACGATCAGCTGGGTGGCGCCGCAGAGCTCGCCGACGGGGTGGTGGCCGTCGCCGAACGGCGGGCCGGTGCAGCACGACGGCTACCTCGGGATGGCAGCGGATCCAACGTCGTACATGCTGGAAAACCTGTTGCCCACCGCGGCGATCCCGCCGGAGCCGATGATGCCGCCGACGAGCTCGCCGGCGCCACCACCAGCCGTCGACCACCACCACCGGCTCTCGCCTCCGCATGACGCCGCCGGCAGCAACTACAACCACCCGGAGCTCGCCGACTACAACGGCGGCGTCCAGGCGCAGCACGAGCATCAGTATCACCCACAGGAGCCGCAGGCATCGCTGGTGGATGCCGAGGACGGCTACAGCGCCATGGCCGGTGGCGACGACGCGCAGCTGGGCGGCGCGGAGCTTGACACCGAACGAATCGCCGAAATGGTAAACCATATAATGGATGGCGAATTCGAGTTCAAATTCGAGGACAACACCGTCCTTAAGTACAACGAAGTCTTTCCTGACAATGATGAGGTGGTGGCGGCGCCGATGATGATCGACGGTGGTAGGGATGGCGATGGCGCAGATGGAGGTGATGGAGACGACCCATTCGACAATTAGGGCCCTGTTTGGAAAACCGTTGGAATTTCCAGTTTCCCAGGCTGTAAATTCTTTATCTTCAAATTTTACTCGATTTTGTAAGTTAATGTTTATATTTACTTTGCTCTATGTTTTTAGTTTATACTTTGGTAATTTTACTACTTTAAAATAATAGGCGGTACGAGGTTCACATAGAATTTTTTTACTGAGTCGGAAAAGAGAGGGGAAGAGAGAGAACGGGAGGACGACTAATTAACTGCCCAGCTATACATGCAGTCCGAGGTGTGGGCCCGTAGCAATGGTAGCTCTAGCAGCGCTTGTTCCTCCGAGCGTCCTTCCGCGTCGCCTTCGACACCGTCTTCCGTGGCCGCCATCGTCGCTGTCTTTAGCGGCCGCCGTTATCCTGCCACCCTCGTCCCCGGTAGTGGCGGCCGCCGTCCTCATCCTCGGCAACAGTCGCCGTCGCCGTCTTCAACGGTTGTCCTCGTCCTAGGCGGTCGCCACCGTCACCCGTGGCCATCCCACCACCCTCGCCCCATGGTCGCCGTCCATGTCCGTGGCCATCGCTCTCGTCCGTCCAGCGGTCCTGCCGTTTTCATCCTCTGCGTGGCGGCCTACGTCTGTCTCGCCATCCACCCTCGCGTCCACCGCGGCCGTTGTCCTCGTCCACTACGACTGCTACCGTCGCACGCGGTTGTCGCACCATCCTCGCCCACGGTCACCGTCCCTCGTCCCTCACGTCCGTCCCGCCATCCTCGCTCGCATCCGCCATCGTCGCTCGCGTCCGTCCCGTTGTCCTCATCCTCCGTGGCGGCGGCCCACGTCTGTCCCGCCGTCCTCGTCCACTGCGGTCGTCGTCTTCGTCTGCGTTCGCCGTGGCTGCCGACGCTGTCACCCTTGTCTATCACCACCATTCGCATCCAATGCGGCCATCACCGAGCCCTTGTCCACAGCGGCCGCCGCCTTCGTCTACATCTACCGCGCCCACAGACGCCACCGCCGCTGCCGCCCTCATCCCGCATCCACAGCCGTTGCCCGTGTCCACCGCAGTTGCCACCCTCGCCATTGCCCGTGTCCACCCGTGTCCGCGCAGGAAGAAAAAAGAGAAGAGAAGATGATGGGCCCATAAAAACAATAAAATATTTATGTTACAGGAAATAACGCTTACTACAGGTGATGTGTTCACCTATTGCAGAACAACGAGCTTCCTTATTAGTCAATTCATTGTTATGAGTCAATTCATTGTTATGAGGATACTCCCTGCCTCTGCACCACAACCGTGCAAGTTATGTGTTGCTCTAGAGAGGGTATATTTAGATTATTCACAAAATTCAATACCAAATAAATATGCTCCAGAAAAGTGCTTTGCTTTCACCAATTTTGGGCCCCAAATTAACCCAATTAGCAAAGCAACAGGAATACAACCATTAGCATTCAGAAGCTCGTAGATGAAATACTCATCAAAGCTAGTAGTGCAATTCTCGCTATAACTTTGGTTATATAACTACTTTGTGATACATCGACTCCAAAGAAATCATAGTTACAAAATTCTAGATTGGTGAGTGTTAATTGCTCAGCACTAATCATGTCAACATCTATGTTGATGAAGTGAATATATATGTGCCCAGCCATTCCAATCCCAGCTCGGTATGCAAAACTATTACCATAGGCGGTTCTCAATTATGGTGGAAACAATATATTTCATTGTTGCCTGCAGAAGTAACAAAATTGTTTCAGATACATACACGAGATGACGAGAATACTATTGATTCCAATGCAAAATAATGGGGTCTAATCTCAGAACACACTAATATGCACAGTACAGTCGACCATGCTTGCTGCTTTGGCAAGATTCAGGAGAAAAACACGGAGAATTGCAGTCATATGAAGGGAAGTTCAAATAATACCTGGGAATGATCCTTCAGACCAAGAGATATCATCAATGACCGTGCTGAGCCACTACCACTGCAACAAAGAATATTCCTTTAGTATGTGTCTGTAAGAAAATGGAGTGTGGTACAAGTGCCAAAGGACAGTTTACAAATCAGAGCTGGACAAATTATGTAACTAACTTTAGCAACCGAAGCCGAAGTGTCACAATAATTGCGTGAGACAAAAAAATCACTGACCACAATTAAAAGGGTCACTGCTGGAGACATTTGCATCTAAATAATCAAATCCAAGAGCAGCTTAAAAGAAGAGGAGCTTATTGGTGAAAATTACATTCAAAATTGAATGGAATCATAGATAGAAGCAGACACAGTTTCAATTATATTTCTTATCCACGAAATTGGCATGAAGTTTAATTTTTAGTTGCATGAGAAGCAAGTAGATATCACACAAGAAGTTCTTCGAATAATGGTTGGGGTGGGGGATCAAACCTTATGTGTTCAATAAGTTGGCGTGCACAAGCTAGTAGTAATGGCTGCGGTCAAAACAATATGCACATTCATTAGATCTATCCATGGTCTGACCTTACATTGAACAGTATAATAACCTTACCTCATCTCTCTTTCCAAAAAGAACAGATACATTGTAGGTTGGATCAGAAAAAACACTTTCATCTTTCCTATTAATGAGGAAGAAAACATGATCAGAAATACTAAAGTGGCAGGAAAAACAGAACATAGTAACAACTACAATGGTATATCATCAATAAAGTGCTAGCTGTCAACTATCATCTATCGTGTTTAAGAAATAACAGAAGCATTATCCTGTATAAACTGTAACATCATGAGGTCATGAGTTATGACCTGACATGCACTCCAAAATCTATGTTGACAGTTTCCTAGCCTTTTTGCAACTAGCGGATAAACGCACCAACATATGTATGCGGAATTGTGGATGGATCCTCACTGTTCTTTCAGAAACATAAGCTAAAAGCTGAGAGCTAAAGGTTTAAAATTTGGATAGGACTAATAGCATGGAAAGAATTGTCTATCCTGAACTGGCAATGCCCAGAATAAACCATGCTATATGTGAGAATAAACAACATACCTGGCAGCTAGTATGGTTCCCATGCATCCTATTTGTGTCACCATCACCTGTATATTTTATTATTAGGTGAGCATATTTTATATGTGAAAACTTGTCATCCAATCAAATAAATATCACTTGCAAGGTGTAACTAACCATAAAGTTATCCTCATACTTGCTGATAACAATATCTGTCTTATTGCCCTAGAAAACCAAGAAGGAAAATAAGTTAGCTGCACGCAAAGAACTGAAATAACTAACACCAAGCAATGCAAATGTGGTTTTTGCAAGGACTAGACAATTACAATTTGCCAAAGTGATAACAATTGACTAAAGTATGATAGCCAATGCAGATCATGTTCGCGTCCAACGACAGAACAAACTTGTTCTTACGGGCAATGGCTAACGATATGCGATGACATGTTGAATCGAGTTCTAATCCAGGAACAGTTTTAACAAACTGTTTTTCTAAAAGGTGTTTTTATCGCAGTCATATGCAATGCACTAATATATGCTTAACAGTTACTGGAGCAAAGGCTCTCACATTGATATCCAAAGAGAGGGACTTGTGCGGCACAGGAAACTGAGCATTCGGCTGCACAGAATTCATCCCCATCTCCATCTGCGAAACAAGCATACTGCGAGTAATCAGAGAGACCACAAAGAAGGTCATCGACACACCAACACATAAGAGAACCCAAATAAACTTCTATTCACTAAGCAGAAGTTACAGAACAGCCACGCAGCTTCTGAATCCCTAAATCACAGCGTTCGCTTCGAGAAATCCCCGCATAATTGGCTAAATGGCTGGTGCGTAAAAGATATTGCCCCAAACCTTTATAAACTGGCAATAAGGAAAAATAGAATGGTGTCGACCGAACTTCAAGACAACACATGGATTACCTCCTTCCGACAAATCACAGAGATTGAAACCATCAATGAACTAGTTCAACTAGGTGGACTCATATCTCAAATTCAATTGCAATTGGGCACTGAGGATGACATAATTTGGACAAGAAATGAAACTGGAACCTGCATATCCAAAAGTGCCTACCTTGCGCAATTCATTGGATCATGCTCTAAACAAGAATTCAGTCATCTTTGGGGCTCTCAAGCACAGCCAAAACAATAATTTTTAGGATGGTTGATTCTACACCAAAAAACCCTAACGGCTGAAAACCTGCTAATTAGACATTGGCCTTGCCACTGGATTTGCTCGCATTGCAGCGAAGATTTTGAAGACACCGATCATCTCTTCAGAGACTGCCCCTTCACGAGGCAAGTATGGAACAGAGTTTCGACAATGAGAGGGTCTGATCCAAAGCCGCCGTCACAAAACCTCAAAATTTGGGTGGATGATATCACGGCCAATGGAAGTAAAAAAAAACACAAGCGAGAACAGCTTGATCTCCTCGTGATGACTTGGTGGCACATCTGGCTACAATGAAACACAAGAATTTTTCAGCAGCAACCAAGCACGACAGCACAAGTCGTAAACCTAATTATACAAGACATAGACCTACGCGAATTAGCTCTCAAACCGCCTTGATTTTCTACCCCATCCTTCTTCCCCCGAAGTTGTAATCTCTTCAACCTGTATTCGTCTAAACCACCCTATTCTTCTTTTATTTACTTCTTCTAATATAATCGGCAGAGCTCCTGCCGCCTTATTCTTCAAAAAAAGAAATCCCCGCGGAAATCCCAAATCAACAAAGGAGTTAGGGGGCAAAGTACTGGGGGGGGGGGGGGGGGAAGAGGAGGGTTATGGCCGTCGGGAGCTGTGAGGTTGGCGGCGCACTCGACCAATCCCCCTCCTGCGCGGCGGCGGCCGAGGAGGGGAAGTTGTCGGCGGTTCACGGCGGCGAAGCCGTCGCTAGAAAGAGGGGGCTGAGCAGGTGGTCGAATCAGGGAGTTCTCCGAGTAAATCAGGAAGAAGAAGAGGTCATACCGGCGCAATCAGACGGCGAGCTCTCCGGGCCTTCGCCGCCGCCGCCGCCGTCGTCGTCTCCGGCGGCGACTCGAGAGAGAGAGCGGGGGTGGAGCGGAGGAGAGGCGGCGGCGCAACTCAACCAATGAGCGGAGGACACGTATCCCCCTCCCGCGCCCGTCCGATCAGTAGCAACCCCCCGCGCCAAGATTCGTGCAGACCACGCGCGTGCAGGTAGCAACGGCTCACGCACGCGCCGCAGCTACCCAGCCACTCCTCGATCGTCTCCTCCCCATTATAAGCAGCAGCAAGCAAGCAAACCAAAGCAAAGCATCGATCTCCCATGGCGGCGGCGGCGGAGGAGGGGGAGGGGGTGCGGCTGCTGGGGGGGAGGATGAGCCCGTTCACGATGCGGGCGCGGATGGCGCTGGCGCTGCGCGGGGTGGAGTACGAGCTGGTGGAGGAGGCGCTCCACCCGCGGAAGAGCGGCCGCCTCCTCGCCGCCAACCCGGCGTACGGGAGGATCCCCGTGCTCCTCCTGCCCGGCGGCCGCGCCGTCTGCGAGTCCGCCGTCATCGCGCAGTACGTCGACGACGCGTGGGGCGGCGCCGGCGCCGGCGCCGCCATACTGCCGGTGGACCCGTACGAGCGTGCGATGCATCGGTTTTGGACCGCCTACATAGATGACAAGGTTGGTGATTGCTGATTGGTGATGTTAATTAATACTAGAACTTCCTTGATACAAATATGTACTCCCTCCATTCCAAAATATTTGGCACCGTTGACTTTTTTAAATATGTTTGACCGTTCATTTTATTTAAAAAAATTTAAATAATTATTAATTCTTTTCCTATCATTTGATTTATTGTTAAATATACTTTTATTTATACATATAGTTTTACATATTTCACAAAAGTTTTTGAATAAGACGAACAGTCAAACATGTTTAAAAAAGTCAATGGCGTTAAACATTTAGGGAAGGAGGTAGTACTACTTTCAAATAATGTTAGGAAATACTCTCTCCGTCCCTAAATATTTAACGCCGTTGACATTTTTAAACATATTTGACCATTCATCTTATTAAAAAAAAATTTAAGTAATTATTAATTTTTTTCCTATCATTTGATTCTTTGTTAAATATACTACTACTAATGTTTTTAATAACATTTAAAAAAAATTAAATAAGACAAACGTTTAGTGACGGAAGGAGTATATTCGTACTATCAAAACTCCCAATTATTTGAATCGATTAGTTAAAAGTTATATAAAATCAACGGAAAATCATAACTTGTCAAAAGTTTATGGTCACAGCTTCATCATTTCCGAGGTACACCTATTTATTTATAAGCCATGACGATTTATCAGCGATTAAAAAAACAATTTGTATATTTTCTAAACAAATTAAATACAAGTACCGAAAAATAAATGATGATAAAAAAAATCTTAAAATCAACTTTTAGAATATAAAATTTTGCAGCGGCATATATGCTGAAAATTCAAAGTCCTTTTTCCATCTCATTATGTTGCTCAACACTATCCAAATCGACAAAATTTCCACTGTTAATAAGCAATGAGTAAGCACTAAACAGTACTGATTTTTCCCATTATGGCAGTTCTGGCCAGCGTTGGACGCCATCTCACTGGCGCCAACGCCGGAAGCGCGGGCCACCGCGACGGCGAGCACCCGCGCGGCCCTGAAGCTCCTGGAGGAGGCCTTCGCCGCCCGCAGCAACGGCGGGGCCTTCTTCTCCGGCGGCGGCGCCGCCGCCTCGCCGGGCCTCCTCGACGTCGCGCTCGGCTGCTTCCTGCCGGCGCTCTGGGCCTGCGAGAACCTCAACGGGCTCCGCCTCCTGGACGACGACGCGACGCCGCTCCTCCGCGCGTGGAGCGCGCGGCTCGCCGCCACCCCCGCCGCCATGGCCGTCATGCCGGAGACGGAGGAGGTGGTCGCGTTCACGAGGTTCCTCCAAACCAAGTTTGGCGTCGCAGGATCGAAATAATTAAGACAATATTATGTAATTTAAGTTAATTTTTGTTGCTGTATTTGTATCGTCCCAAAGTTCGATCGCTCCGGGGTTTATGGTTTAGTTTATTCCTTCCTTTGTTTTTATTGGTGAACATGCATGCAAGGTTGGGTTTGGCATAAACTCAAACCATGATGGAATTAATAAAAGTCCGCGAGAATTTGATAATTTTACATCCTCGCGAAGGTACCACATTTAGCGCATGATTTTTTTTTTTTGAAATTTATCGGTAGGAGGCGTGTCGAGGGGTTTTTAGCCCATAATTTACCACACTTCCATGGGTCTATGGACCAGCAAATCTCTATCATTACTCGCTCAGCTCACTGACCTGTGGGGCTCACCGTAATTACAATTGTTTTTTTAATTGGAGTGCCATGTAAGCACCATATAGGTGCCACATTAGCCAAAGCTGGTTCCAATACTGTCTCTGTGATATTGTTAACACTGGCATTACAATATGAGGGATGTATTGTATCTGATTTTACGGTTGATGGAGGCGAATGAAACTCAACAATAAAATTAAGGATGTAATGTGAACTCTTTCCTGGTTTACCAGTTTGAGTACCACGGGCCAGTCGCTGCCTGTCCGATCCAGATTGCCTCTTGACCCCTGCCACTGTTTTGTTTTGGAATAAGTTCATCTGAGGTCCCTTAACTTGTCAACGAATCCGATTTTCGTCCTTCAACCAGAAAACCAGATACAACGGGTCCCTTAATTATCAAAACCAGTGCAGATGAGGTCCCTCGGCAGTTTTGAGGGTGGTTTTGGATGTGGCGCATACGTGGCAAATTTGACTTGGTCTTCATCTGATGTGGCATTGACGTGGCGCATACGTGACAATTCGATCCAGAACAATAATAAACTTCATGGGACCCACATGTCAGTCTCACACATGGGCCCCACATGTCATTCTCAGCATCTCCCCCTCTGCTTCCTCCTCTCTCTCTCTCTCCCTTCTCCCATCCCCGAGGCAGCGGGCGGTGTCCGGCTCGCGGCGGCTGGGCGAGGGAGGCGACCGGCGCGCGGCGGCCGGGCGAGGAGAGGCGACGGCCCGGCGAGGAGGGAGGCGGCGCTCGGCGGCCTGACGAGGAGAGGCGACGCGCGGCGGCCGGGCGAGGAGGGAGGCGGCGCTCGGCGGCCTGGCGAGGAGGGAGGCAGCGCTCGGCGGCCCGGCTATGAGAGGCGGCACGTGCTGCTACCGAGCGAGGAGGGGCGGCGCCGTCCGGCTGGGCATCGCGGGCGGAGCGGCCGACAGAGTGTAGCTATCGCGCTCGCCGGCGACCTCCTCCTCTGCCTCTTCCTCCTCTGGCAACCTCTGCCGCCCGTGGCCTGCCGCCGCTCCGCCTGCCCCTCCGCCGCTCCGTCTGCCGGCATGCTCCTGCCGCCGCTCCCCGCGAGGACGAGGGAGAGCGAAGAGGAAGAGAAACGAGAGCCGAGAGGGACTTGGGGCCCACGTGGGCACCATCTTTATTTTTTAGCTGACATGTGGGTCCACGTGGGCCCACCATTCTTTTATTGATTTATGTGTGAGACTGACATGTGGGTCCCATGAAGTTTATTATTTTTTTGGATCAAATTGCCACGTATGCGCCACGTCAATACCACATCAGATGAAGACCAAGTCAAATTTGCCACGTAGGCGCCACGTCAGCCAAAACCACCCTCAAAACCGCTGAGGGACCTAATCTGCACTGGTTTTGATAGTTGAGGGACCCGCTGTATCTGGTTTTCCGGTTGAAGGACGAAAATCGGATTCGTTGACAAGTTAAGGGACCTCAGAAGAACTTATTCCTTTTGTTTTTGCCCATCAAGCTATAAAAGAAAGGCCCATCTCAAAGAAAAGAAAAACAAGTTATTTTAAGGACTACCTACAAATTTGTTGATAATTTTGTAATATAAATATAGTACAATCATAATGTATTTCCGTAATTACATTGTAACTGATACTATAGAATAATTTGTATGTAATTGTCAAAAATCCCACCATAACACGCTATTTTCGTGAAGCGGAGGTCGGGGGACAAAATCCCCTCAGGCATGTTTGCTCTGTGATTTTTTTCTTCCCCGCTCGCACGAATTTTGAAGTAAATCTAACAATTCAAAATTATATGAAAGTTACATACATGTTATATTGTAATTAAATATAAGTTACAATATAATTACACTATAATTATAATGTATTTATATTTGATAAATGTTTAGAAGGTAATTTGTCGATAAATTTATAGCAGAACCGGTAAAGAAAAGGACAGAGAGGGAACTTGGTCGCGATGCCCCCAACCCACCCTGAGACGCTGAGTCAGTGTGCCGCTAGTGTGCACTGGTTCTACGAGCCGGAGCACCACATGAGCGGCGATCCATCGTGCGAGGAGCTAGAGATGGAGAGGTCGCAAATCCTCGAGTCGATCCACCGCTCGTATGAAGTCGCTCTAGGGAGGCTAGCCTTCGTGAGAGGCCCTTCGTGCTTTCGTGCTTCCTTGATGCCGCGCACCTTAATTTGTCTTCGGCCTCCTTGATTCGGTCCCCGTCATCATCACGAAAATCCCCACATGTGCTAACTATCCTAAAGCCTCCCATGCAGTCCCTAACGGAAATAAACAAGGTCAGAAGGTGTTTCCTATATGGGCTGGCCATGAAGAGCTCCCTAGGGGAAATGCAAGGTGGAATGGACAAAGGTTTGTTCCTCGCTAAAATTTGGAGGCTTAACGGTTCTAAATTCAAAAAAGTTTGCTATAGCTCTCCAGCAAAGATGGATTTGGTATGAGCGGAAAGCGCCAAACAAACCATGGTTGGAAAAACAGTACCTTGTGATGATATTGATAGGGCACAATTCTCAGCATCCACTGAAGTCACACTTGGAAATGGTCATAAGGTGAGTTTCTAGGAGTCCAGCTATATCTAGGGGTAGACTTTACGAAGCATTGAGCTGAACCTGTACAATATCACTCTCGGAGGGAAGAAGAGAACACTGCAGGAGGCCCTAAGTAATCAGCAATGAGTAGAACACATATGGCACAACATCACGTCGGTTTTGTTTGAGGAATAATCTACAATATGGTGCATGTTGGTGCGAACCAACCCTCAGCTCTGCGAAGGAATAGAAGATATGATAAAGTGGAAATGGACAGCTACCGGAGAATATAGTGCAAAATCGGTATATCAAACCCAATTCAAAAGAATGATCGAAGCGACATCATGTAGCCAAATTTGGAGAGCTTGGACCCCTGCCAAATGTAACATTTTCACATGGCTGCTGCTGCAAGATCAACTTTGGACTGTCGACATAATGAAGTGACAGGGTGGACAAACAACTATTTCGATCAGCTATGCATGCATATAGAATTTGGAAACAACTCACCATCTAATCTTGGAATGCCTATGTTGTCCATGCTGTGTGGAATGAAACCTTCACCAAGCTACACCAGCCCTAACTAACCAATATTCATTACCAAAGCAACCTCCCCGATTGGTGGTTAGGTAGAACGGACAATACTGATCGCTCCTAAGCACAAGCCTCAAATATGCCCTAATCTTAGTAGCATGGGAACTTTGAAAGGAAAGAAACAAAAGAGTATTCCAAGGCGACAAATCATCCGTACCACAAGTATGCAACCGTATTTTGGATGAGATAAAGGTGTGACCCATGGGAGGCGCCAAGGATTTAGCGAGAATATCGTCTTAGAGTAACTTGTACAATAGCGACAAGTATGTTTGTTGTCATGGATGTAAATCATTTTCCTTTTTCATACCGTCTTTTGGCAATTTGTATTTGTTCCTTCTAAGATAAATAGAACGCCAGCCGCCTAAGCTGGTCTTTCGAGAGAAAAAAAAGTGTCTCTGAAGAGTAGTCCATTCGAAGCCTAGATTAAATGGAATTGATGAACCACTAGTAGTTTTTTGCTTGTTTAATTAGCAAGCTATTTATACAATGGCATCTGACCTTGTGATATATGATTTCCCTGCATTTTTTGGCAGCAGTTTATTTAGTTTTTCCTAAACTACATCAGTCATCCGAGAACATGTCCCGGCAACTTCTTACCTTGAAAATTTTGCTTTCTTAGAGCTGGTGCATTTTCTGGTAATTTTAGGCTAAACGAATTATTACTATCAGTTTTCGGTATTACAAGAACATGTTTGTTATGATCCCGATTCCCATCAATTGAACTGCCAGTCTGCAATTCTCCATGCTGAATAAAAAAAAAAGAAACGAGATTTGGAGAGAGAGACACCCTCCAAACATTTTTTTAAGAAAAAATTTTGAGCAAGTTGAGAATTGAACACTTGACCATGGAGTTGAAACCACATACACTCTTTGCCAACTGCACTATCAAGTGCTCTCTCCGTGCTGAATTAAGGAGGTTAATCGCATTTGCTACAACCTGCTGCTCCAATTTCAGTCCTTCAGCGTTGTTCAGAGTTCAGAGTTGAGGCCACGGAAAGAGTGTAGCTGGGCCGTTTATTCTCTGATCCAACGGTCACGCTTAGACCCGGATCAGGCCACTGAAACTGACCGAGTTCGCTACCCGCGGATAAGAATCAAGAAGCTCCTCTTCCCCTTCCCCTTCCCCTGCTCCTGTCTCCAGTCTCCACTCCTGCATCACCTCACCACCATGGCTCAGCTCCTCTCCTCCTCCGCTCCTCCCCGCCTCCATCTCGCCGCCACGCCAGGTAAACCTATTTCCCTCTGCATCATCCTCCGGTGATTCTTCCATGGCTCACCTGATGATTTCTTCTAGTGCTGGTTTTTGCTCTTGCTCTTTTTTTTTTTTGTTTTCCTCTATCTGTATATCCGTTTTTATGACTGCGAAATTTGATGCCTTCTGATGATGCTACGTACCGTCCTACTAGCTTGCTTCTCCTCCTCTTCAGGCCATGGCGTCTCCCGCTTGTCCGTGACGTCAGCATGCTCTGCCGCTCCCGGTAGCAGATTTCTTCTCGATTTTTCTCTTTCTTTCGTGATTCCGTCCCCATTTCTGGGCATCTTGAGAGCTTAATTCTATTGTTTCGAACGGGCAGGGTCGCTGGTGAGCATGAGGAGGCAGAAGGCGAGGTCCCTGACCGTCCGGTGCGAGCAGGGAGCCAAGGGCGGCGGCGGCGGCGGCGGCGGTGGGCTGGACGTGTGGCTCAGCCGCGGCGCCATGCTCGGCTTCGTCGCCGCCATCACCGTCGAGCTGACCACCGGCAAAGGCGTGCTCCAGGTTTAGCTCCTCTGCAAAATTCATTCTAACCTGTGAAAAAAATTCTCTGAAGAATTTCGCCGTTGAATGTTTGGTCTCTCCGATCCTGCGCCGCAGAACGTGGGGCTGACGTCGCCGGTGCCGACGGTGGCGCTGGCGCTCACCGGGGTGGTCGGCGTCGCCACCGCGTTCCTCATCTTCCAGTCGGCGTCGCAGGACTGATCGGACGATCGCCGCCGACGACGCAGCTTCTTGCTGCTTACCAATGGGCCAATGGCGTCACTCCATTGGTCTCCGTGTTCTTGGTGCGTTTTGCGTGATGCGTGTGTGTGGGGAGATGTGTTTCATAGGGAGGGGTCAAACTGTACCGGTGTTAAAATTATAGAGATCTTTCTTGTTCAGAAATTACTATTATTATAGTACTACCTCTGTTTTCGTTTCCAAATAAATGACGTTGTTTAGTGCAATTTTGAACTAACTTGCGTAAAAAAAAACGGAGAGATATCTTTTTTTTTTTGGCAAACCTTTGCTTCTAGTTTCCTCCCTATTCCTTCTGATTGCTGTTGCTTGTATGTTCTGTTGCGTAAAAAGGAAAAACTAAATCCTTCACGTCTTAAGACCAACACTATATGTTTAATGGGATATTTGATAATGGGAATATGGGATGTAATATGAGAGACATACAATTTGTCAATTTGGTTTTGTTATTATACTCAGTGGTTTTCAGATGACCCACATGTTAGTGAGAGGGAATTGTACACTTCTAACACAATGGTAAATTGTCAAATATATCCTGTTTAAAATGCAAGAAATTCCAATTTCATATTAATTTTGAAGTGTTTCATGCAAATTTCTATTAGGACTGAACCAAACACCTTTGATGTACAAATAGCAATTTACCAACCGACAAACACATTTCACACAATCAACCTCTCACCTTGTTATGAACTTTGAGAATGATTTCAACTAACAAAACATATGTGGAATAATAACATTTACATGCACATAAATGACGATAACAAATTTTGTCTCCTTCGACTCTCAACTCAGATCTCCTGAGCCATGGACAACATATGTTGAAACTATGTAGTCACTCAAGCGGATGAACCCTCACTTAAATCTAGTACTCTAGTCAACCAGGCAATAAACCATCTGACCAAATTGAAGTACTCAAAGTGTAGAAAAAATTCACCAAGTTTTGTGAAATCTAACTACATTTGAACCTCCAATCGCCGATTTTATGAAGATCGGGTAAGAGCAACCGGACTGAACGAACTACACTTGTTTTTCTCCACTCCTTCACTGAACAAGGTAATCTCCACCATTTATCAAGAAATAAAATCAATCACTCATAAATATTGGACTTTTGGATTGTATTGGGTTATGAATAAAGATCCACGTGAAGATAATTTAGCCTCTCAATTTTTCCTAGAGACAAATAAAGAGTAAAATGCATGAAGGGTCAATAAACTTGTTTAGTTGTGTCATACATGTCATTCTACTTTTAAAATGCACATTTGGATCACTATTGTGAGTTAAGTGAGTCATTTGGATCTAACTACCTACATGAGTACACCTTGTACACATGGCATGTCACATAGGATTGGAAAAATTGCATATCAGAAAACTCCCTACGCATTGTGATTAAATTGACTCATACCAATTCCCTCAAAATTGCATAGTAGTTATCTGGAATGGTTAGTACGGATTGGTACATATCATGAGAGGAAACAGATTGCGCAGAGTGAGAGAAGACGTGATTTGCATCCTTGGCAAAGAGGCAATACACACTAGATACCTCTGTGTCAGTGTGTGTCCTGCCTCTCCGGCAAGGATGTAAATATGCAGATAATTTATCCGTATCTTAGCCTTGATGATTGCCTCTTGCAAATGTGCCATGTGCTGATTCCGGGATCTACTTATTGCATATGGTATGAGTCAATTTTTTTTCATTTTTACGAATTGGTATGAGTTGATTTAATCACAATGCATAGGGAGGGAACATGATTTTCGTCCCCTGTGGTGCATGACGTCCGATGCCCGTTAAGATTCGTGCCCAAAAGTTACCAAACTGTGTATCCCGTTGTATTCAATTCTTTAGTTTCTTTTCTGAGTGCACCGTATTTTCGATAGGATCATTTCAAGGTGGATGTCAAGTGTACTCTACACTAGTACATAGTCATAATGTGAAGTACAACTGCTGCTGCCGCGGGAGTATTATTGATCCTGCTCAAAGTGAGCTGCTAGTATCATTCTATCTCTTCATCCCTCCTCCAAATCCATGGTGTCACCCCATTCTTCCTCCAGCGCCCATTATCCTCTAGACGGCTCCGGCGACCGGACTTTAGTCCCATGGCTGAAGTGTGGTGTTCCCTGCATTCTTCCTCGAGGCCTCTCCCAAGATCCGTGAAGGATCCAAGCTCGCCGACATATCTCCCGGTAGCCTAAATGGCGAGGATAGGTCTAAAGAGGAAGAACATAACAAGATTAAAGGAAATAAAAAAGGGCACCTGATGGCAATATCGGTAGAATGAGAGGCATCAAGCACCTACGGGTGATGGAAATCGAATCTAGGGCATGCAATATACTGGACAAAAGCTCCATGAAGGTGGATGAACTCTCCATTTCTCCGAATGGAGTGGAGAAATTTTTGCCCCCAATGGAGAGTGAAGGGATGCTTCTGAGCTGGGCATTAGGAGTGGGGTGCTTTTCTATACTCTGCTACATGGCACGGCACGAGCCCGCTGCGTTCGAGGTGGTCCAGGGACTGTACCACACCATACAGTACACACTGTAGCATTCCATGTATACCAGAAATACCAATCCCGGTATTCCATTAAAGCATGACAGATTGGACAATACAACTCGAATCTCCGTGAATGATCCAACGGTGATGCCTGTAGGGGGATGTCCCCTTAGGGGATGATAACACTTTCGCCATAGGGAGTTCTCCGCATATTTTTAGATGCAACCTTTTCAATCCTTAATGACATATATACTATGTGTACAAGATATCTCGCGTGAATAGTTAGTAGTCATATTAATAAGTCAAATGTATATTTTAAGGATGTGACTACACAACTAATGGTAGCTGGTTTAGACAAACCAGCTACCACTTCATCTATGAGAGACACTGTCCACCTATACTTCAAATACAATTTTCTCTTAAACTACTCATCCGATCTACGATCCGATTACACCGTTGTGTTCGTAAGAATTAAATCTTTATAACAAGATCTTGCAAATATAATCATGTAAGATCTTGTTGTGAAGATTTAATTGTAACGAACACAATAGTGTAATCGGATGGTAGATCGGATAAGTAATTTAAAAGAAAACTTTATAAGAAGTAAGAAAAAGACATGCATGTTTAAGAGGAAAAAAAGTATAGGCATGCACGTGTGGTAGTACTTCTTTTCATAATTGGATGGTCTTTGGTTAACACTTAACCGAGAGGCTTATCGGTTTAGATTTTATGATATTTTAAAAGTAAAGTGAAAAACAAATTTAATAACCCTCCATGCATTTTAATTTTTTTTCTTAAAAAATGCGCCTGCGAAATTGCAAGGACTCCAATCCTCAACGGTCGGGCAGATCGCCACGCGTTGCGTTGCAGTGCGATTCCTCCCTCCCGCCATTTCCGTTGCTCCTTGCCCCCTTCCCTCCATCTCCACCGCTCCAGCGCTCCTCCCTCCAAATGAGCATCTCCATTCTACCACCCATTCGCGCCACCACCACCACCACGTCGTGGCTCCTCCTCCTCCTCCTCCTCGCCGCCGCCGCGGCCCGCCGCGATGCTCTTCCGCCCCGGCACCGCTGTGTGGGTGGAGCACCCGGACCATGCGTGGGCCGAGGCCGTGGTCACATCCCCCGCCTCCTCCTCGCCGTCCTCCGTTACTGTCACCCTCGCCGGCGGCGCCAAGGTAGCTAAAACATTGGCCTGGAGCGTGCTCCTGCATGCATGCTTGCTCTGATCGGCGTGAGCGGCGAGCCGCGGCTGTGTGCAGTCTATGTGTTTGATGATATGTCTGGCCGGGGCTGTGTGGTTTCTGGTATTGTTGTTGTTGTTGTTGTTGTCAGGCTGTGGTCGATGGGAAGAAAGTCCTGCCGAGGGACACGGAGGCCGACCTCGGGGGCGTCGACGACATGACCAAGCTGGTCTACCTCCACGAGCCTGGGGTGCTCTGCAATCTCGCTCGGCGGTATGGGTTCAATGAAATCTATGTAAGTATTGCCCTTTATACTCTCACTTTGCATGAAAACCATCATCGCGTCTTAGTAATCCTCTGTATCAGTAGCATGCGTGCGTGTTTGTGTGTGTGGGACAAGGATATTGTTCCTTTATTTTTTCGATAATGGAAGCTTCATTAAAAACTCAGTCAAATACACCAAGATGATACATTTCAACTGAGCCCACTCCCGGCCTCCGCATAAAATTCACATAGCCACACACAAAGAAAGACTTATGAAGACCCCTCTCACAAAACAGAAATATTAGTGGCTATCAATCCGTAGACTAGATTGCCAACCATGCTACCGGGTAAAAAACTCCTGTGCCACTTGGTCCAAACGTCGCGATACCACCACAATAGTATACTGAAGACCCGGTTTGTGGAGGATAGCCTAGGTGCGAAGCCACCGGGTGACTAAAGTAATAACCTGCAAAGGAGAAGACACCATCTTGTTATAAAAAATAACCCCATTTCTGCTTAGCCAAATAGACCAACAAAGAGCTGTTGCGCCCATCAAAACTAGATTTCTCATGTCTTTAGGAACACATGTAAACCAACGCCCAAACATATGAGTCATATTTTGAGGAGGTTGTAAGTTATAGGCCAAATGAATAACAGACCAAACCAAGCGAGTAAGATGACATTGGAAGAGCAAATGTTGAATGGTTTCGTTCTTATGACAGAAGCAACATTTCTTGCTACCTTTCCACTTTCGCTTAACTAGGTTATCCTTGGTTAGAGTTACGCCCCGTCGTAGGTACCATAGAAAAATCTTCACTTTGAGCGGTACCTTAATCTTCCAAATGCGTCTATTGATATTTGGGATACTCGTATGGACAAGAGCTAAATAAAGAGAATTGACTGAAAAGACCCCATTAGGAGTGAGATTCCAGCGAAATTCATCTTGCTCTTGTGTCAAAACCAAATCAGCTATGCGAGGCCATAAATTATGCCAAGCAGCTAATTTTGCTCCGGTTAAATCTCGTCTCCATGAAAAGCTTGGAGGATTGTTTTGAAAGATTTGTGAGATAGTCGAATGTTTGTGCCTAACAATGTTATAGAGACAAGGAAATTGATCTCTTAACGAGGCATTACCCAACCATTTATCCTCCCAAAATCTTATTTGAGAGCCGTCTCTAATACGAAAGGACCCAAACCTAAGAAAATCTTGTTTGACTTTCATAAGACTAGTCCAAAAATGAGAATCTCCCGCTTTCCAAAAGGTTTGAGATAGAGGTTGTGTTCCCAAATATTTATTACGTAGCATCTGTTGCCACATTCCGTCTGTGGTGAGCAATTTGTATAGCCACTTGCTAAGTAAAACTATGTTCTTTACCTCTAGATCGTGAATTCCAAGCCCACCTTGATCTTTGGGACGACGAATAATGTCCCACTTAGCGAGCCGATATTTTTTCTTATGTCCATCCCCTTGCCAATAGAACCTAGATCGAAAGTAGTCAAGTTTCTTACGTACCCCGCTAGGTATTGCAAGGAAAGACATCATATACATTGGGAGACTGCTGAGTACTGAGTTGATCAAAGTAAGTCGCCCTCCCAACAAGAGAAGTTTTCCTTTCCAACTACTCAATTTCTTTTCAAATCTTTCAACCACTTCTCTCCATTCCGCATTTCTTAACTTCCTATAATGGATCGGGATGCCAAGATATCGGAAAGGGAACTTGCCTACCTGGCAACCGAAGAGTTGGTTATATTGATCTCTATATTCAAGTGCTTCACCAAAGCAATACAGTTCGCTTTTATGAAAGTTAATCTTCAAGTCTAACAATTGCTCAAAAGCTAGAAGCACAGACTTCATATTTTGAGCTTTTTGTAGGTCATGATTCATAAAAAGCACCGTGTCATCGGCATATTGTAATATGGATAGCCCCCCATTAATCAAACGCGGTACAAGACCATCTACTTGCCCTTGTGCTTTGGCCCTATTTATCAAGGTGGCTAGCATGTCAGCAATAAAGTTGAAAAGGATTGCAGAGAGAGGATCTCCTTGCCGAAGGCCTTTTTTAGTTTGGAAAAAAGGCCCGACATCATCATTGACTTTAACTGCCACGCTTCCCCCAGATATGAAAGATTCGATCCAAGAAATCCACTTGGGCAAAAAGCCTTTCATCCGTAGAGTTTGTAGCAAAAAGGGCCATTTGACCTTGTCATAGGCCTTTTCAAAGTCAATTTTGAATATCACCCTGTTCAACTTTTTCCTGTGTAACTCATGTAGTGCTTCATGTATGATGACGACTCCATCTAGGATATTTCGCCCACGCATGAAGGCAGTTTGGGTTGGATTCACTAAATGGTCTGCATCAAGCTAATTCGGTTTGTGGCGACCTTAGTGAATAATTTATAACTGACATTCAACAAACATATAGGTCTATACTGTTGGATTCGATTTGCTTCTTCAACTTTCGGAATAAGAGTAATCACCCCAAAATTTAGCTCAAAAATTGGAAGACCGCCAGCATGGAATTCATTAAATAAATTCAGCAAATCTTGCTTGATGACTTCCCAAAATTTTTGGTAGAATTCAACTGGGAAACCATCTATACCAGGAGTTTTATTATGCTCCATTGCAAAGATTGCTTCCGTTATTTCTTTTTCCGAGAAAGGGGCAGTAAGAAAGTCATTTTCAGCTTGTGTAACTTGAGCCATATCATCAGTTATGCTCTCATCAAGCGAAACCGAATTTTCCTCAGGTGGTCAAAAGAGTTTTTTTTGTAAAAATTCGTAATGTACGTTTTCAAAGCATCAACCCCCTCAATTTTTCCTTCATCTTGGTCTAGAAAGAAGATCCTCTTCTTCCTATGTTTGCCGTTGGCAATCATGTTAAAATACTTCGTATTAATGTCCCCTAGGAGTACATCCGACACTTTTGAGCATTGGTACCATTTAATTTCCTCTTGGTGAAGTATGCTTGCAAGATTATCCCACGATTGATCAAGAAGATTTCTTTCTTGATCCGAAAGGAGACGAACCTCTGCAGCGATGTCTAGTGAGTCAATGGTCTGTTGTAAATGGGCTTTTTCCTATTTAAAAATTCCATTGGTATGAGCTAACCAACCTCGGCGTAAAGCGCTCGTCTTATTATTCCATCTTTGGACTGCATTCTGGCCCTTGACTGGCCTATTCCAAACTTCGGTAACACGTTCATGAAAATTGTCTCGCAGAAACCAGCTGAGTTCCAACTTGAACTGCTTAAGGTTTCCAGCGAAGGCCGCTTCCCCTGTGTCAAGCAATAGAGGCGTGTAATCTGACACCCCTCTATCTAGTGCATGGACCGAAACCAGGGGGTATTTAGATTCCCAATCTGTGGAAGTGAGAATCCTATCTAGCTTCTCATACGTCGGCGTAGGAAGCGAGTTTGCCCAAGTGAATTGCCTATCCGTTAGAGCAATTTCTCTTAAGTCAAAGCTATCAATCACAGCATTGAAAAGAAAAGGCCAACGAGCGTCAAATCGGTCATTGTTTTTTTTTCCGCACTACTTCTTAGAATGTTGAAATCCCGCCCTATTAGAGTGGGTAGATGATTTTGTTGGCATGTACGAACTAGCTCCGCTAAGAAACTGGATTTAAATCCATCTTGGGCCGGGCCATACACAGCCATCAAAATCCATTTAAAATTATCCTCCCTATTGTTGAGATGAAATTTAACAAAAAATTCCCCTTCAACAATTAAAGATAGATCCAAGACAGTCGCATTAATTCCAAGAAGTATACCTCTTTATCTTCCCTTAGGCGGGAGACAATGCCAGACAAAATCAGCACCTCCAGAGAGGTGATCTAAATTTGTCTTTGACATTTCACACTTTCTTGTCTCAAGCAACGCAATAAAGTCTAGCTTTTTTCTTTTAACAATCTCTGCCACATACCTATATTTAGCCAAGTCCGCAAGACCTCTACTATTCCAAAAAATACCCTTCACGAGGAAACCATTTTAGAGTTTTTTGGATTTTTGGGATGAGACTTCCACGATTTCCTTTTTGAAGATGATTTAGATTTTCTAGTGGAAACCAACAAGTCACAAATTTTGTTACATTGGTCCACATCATCCATATCAATCTCCGAAATATCTTTTACTAAGTGAGCGAGTAGGGTGCTGTCTATATCGTCGCCCTCGTCATCACTTGACATAAAAGGGTCCACATCATCCACAATATATCGTCGCCCTCGCAGTCTATATTGTTCCTTTATTGATCAGGGTAATCGTGTTATAATTTATATGTGGGTGCAAACAGCAAAGAATGAGTAGAGACCATCACAGTTCTAATTGTTATGGTGTGCCTTACCTGCTTCTGTGTAGGTTGTGTTGTGGCACACTTGATTCCATGGTTTTTACTCTAGTGAATAACATATTGAAATTGTTTCTTGGATTGCATGGGCATCTTACTCCTGTTGAAACCAGATTGATGCCTGCAATCACATAAGTGGAATTTCTGATGTGGAATCTTGTTTATGTTACTTGTTATATTCTACTTTGGATAATTACAGTGGTGGATTCAAAAAAATTTATGAGCTCGGGCAAACCTAACAAACAAATGAAGAATATACAAGTCTATATAGTACATAGATCATTTTAACATGAGCAATTGCTTTATAACTTTGTGTTAAGCACATCTGTTGATGTGGTGTTGCTTCATATGGCCTAGCAGTGAACTAAGCAATGTAATTAGCAAGCTAATTAAGTGTTAATCTATGGATGCATAGCTGCATGTGACAGGCGGAGCCCGGGCCATTGCCCGTGGTAGCCAGGCCCTGGCTCTGCCACTGGATAATTATACTGATGATTCTTTGTTATTTGGTAGACATACACGGGGCGTATTTTAATCGCAGTAAACCCCTTTGCGAAGCTACCTCATCTTTATGATATGCACATGATGGAGCAGTACAGAGGCGTGCAGTTTGGTGAATTGAGTCCACATGTTTTCGCTGTTACAGATGCATCATACAGGTATACATGGAAAGCCTGCATTGGGAATTTATGCTATAGAGTATGGAGTAACACTGTCTCCATTTTGTAGAGCTATGGTTAGTGAGGACCGCAGCCAGTCCATATTAGTCAGTGGAGAAAGTGGTGCTGGAAAAACAGAGACCACAAAGCTTATTATGCGATATCTTACTTTTGTTGGGGGCCGTTCAACAGGTGATATAAGATCTGTGGAGCAACAAGTTCTAGAAGTAAGTATTTCAGATCTGTCATGAAAAGCAATTCTGGAGACAATATAGCAGGGTTTTGGAAAACTAAGCGCTTTTGTGTAGTTAAAACTTTTGAACTCTGGAACATGTCTTAGAATCAGTGATACTGATACACCTTTTAGAATGCAATAAGGTGTCAAAAGTGGGGTGGGGATGAACTAATTTAAATTTCTGAAAAGCAGAGCCAGCCAACCAGGCTATAGGTGGTTTATCAAAACTAGTTTCCATCTGTATTTTTGTTCTAAACCAGTTATTACATTTCCATCTGTTTTTTTGTTATTCTAATGCAGTCAAATCCACTGTTGGAGGCATTTGGTAATGCACGGACGGTGAGGAATGATAACTCCAGGTGAGCTTTATTTAAGAATTTTCCCATTGTTAACAAATTTGTTTGACTGAGCTGTGCACCACAACTAAATATATGTACCCTCTTGTTTGGCTTGGAAAACTGAGATAACATTAGTTCTTAGTTGGGAAAAGTGCAATCAATACAGATGTGTTATCCCCCAGTAAAACAGAATGAAGAAATATAAGAGTGCTTATCACTAAACTCCACAGGGAGAAAGCTTTCTGTTGTATCATATCCAAAGGGATGAGGGGAAGGGTTGTAGACTTGCAGATTGGCATTGTGCCACTTGGTTCTGTACTATTTCGTTGTGTATACCCTCATGTTATCCTTATTTATTTATTTGATTTGATCGCAGTCGCTTTGGGAAATTTGTTGAGATTCAATTTGACAAATCAGGTAGAATATCGGGAGCTGCAGTTCGAACTTATCTTCTGGAAAGGTCTCGTGTTGTACAGATATCTGAGTCTGAAAGGAATTACCACTGTTTTTATCAACTTTGTGCATCTGGGCAGGTTTGTTTATACACTTGGAGTTTATTTTGGTGTTTTTTTTATATACTGTATTAATGTTGCCCATAATATGAAGCTGCAAATGTTGTTCTACAAATTCCATACCAGTACAATGAAATGCCAGAATTTTCCATAGCAGTTTTGTTCTTTTTTAATTGCCAATGTTTCCTGCACGTTATTAGTGTTGTACGCTGATGATTATACCATCATAGTTCAACTAAACCTCTTAAGGGGAATGAGAAAGGACATTGATGGCAAACTCAAAAGTCAAAACAAATTACGAAATAAAACTATGGTTGATGAATCACTTGAAAATAATGTGGTAATGCTGCCATTTTAATCTCAGTAGTTCCTAAAACCATATTACACTCTGTAAACTTTGGGTGCAATACTGTAAATAAAATTCCCTGGATTATCTCCTGATCAGTATATGTTGTAAACCGCATAGTGATAGCATGAGAATGGTTTGTTCTACATAATCATTCTGTGTCCACACTTCAGTGAAGTTTGGTATTACCATCAATTAGAAAGATTGAGACTATGCTGTTCCTTTCAGAAGTAATAGAATCTTCTATTCAGTTTAACATTCTTCCAGCACAAGCCTTTCTTGTATCAGTCCTCATCTCCACCTGTAATATATCACGCTGGAGAGTTATCTCATAAATGATGGCTTATGATTTGTGAATATTTGTGTCTCCAGGATGCAGATAAATACAAACTTGCTCACCCTAGGAACTTTAACTACCTAAATCAAAGCCATACATATGAGTTAGAAGGTGTCAACGAAGCAGAGGAATATTTGAAAACACGGAGAGCAATGGATATTGTTGGTATAAGTTTTTCTCACCAGGTTATTATTAATCTTATTCCTACTTGGCCAAGAAAGTTCAATTAGTTCTTTTTTTTTAACAAATACCTTGGACTCACAGCTTGCTTGCATTAACAGGAAGCCATATTCCGAACTGTTGCTGCTATCCTTCATCTAGGAAATATTGAATTTTCTCCTGGGAAAGAGTTTGATTCATCTGCTATCAAGGATGAAAAGTCTAAATTCCATCTCCAAATGGCTGCTGATTTGCTCATGTGAGTGTTTTGATCAGATCTATTCTGTCTTCTGGACCGACCGATGATGCCCATTCTTAGGCCAACTTGTGTAGTATTTGTTCCTTCAGTTCTTAATAGCTTTTGATATACCATTTGATAACCTGCTAAAAGACGTTTCCTGACCATGGCCTCTTTGAATCATAACCTGTATTTTCCTAGAATAGCCGAGATTCCAAGAATCAGTCCAGTTACCCTCACAAAAGATGACCTTTTCTACAAGTAGCAATCTTAATTGGTCTGTTTCAATAATCGTCGCCATAGTTCAAGAAGATGAAGAAATACCTGAAACTTCTGTTTTCTTCATAGTTGTCATTTGTTTTATTGTGTTCATCAAAAATTTCTTGTGCATTTGACCAATTCTGATAAGTAGTTCCTTACCAATATTTGCCCATGGGTCTACAAATAGTGTTAAAGCTCCAACTCTGTATGTACAGTATTGCTTCCCTATTCACTGCTTGACTCATCTGTACAGTAATGGATAGTCATGCTTAAAGTTTTAGCAGCTTGATTTTAATAATTTTTCATGAGGATTGCCTACAAATCTATTGAGAATTAGACATTACCAACAAAAGATGCGATGTACAGGAACCATTGTATTAATTGATTTTTTTGTAGGGTTGATGGAAGCCTTTTGCTTTCAACTCTGTGCTATCGCACAATTAAAACTCCTGAAGGAAACATCGTCAAGGCAGTTGACAGTTCTGCTGCTGCAATTAGTCGTGATGCTTTGGCAAAGACTGTATATGCTCAATTGTTTGATTGGTATATCCTTCTCTTGTCATATCCTGTTTTAGAATTTTGAATGATGCTTATATCTTTCTTATTGCAGGCTTGTTGACAATATTAATATGTCCATTGGACAAGACATGGAGTCGAGGGCACTAATTGGGGTATTAGATATCTATGGTTTTGAGTGTTTTAAATATAATAGGTCAGCTTTTAATTAATTCTTTGAAGCTAACAAAGTTATGTGTTATACTCATATTTGTGCCAACTAGACTTGAGGCAGATTAAACTGATTTTGAAGTTTTATATTTGTATTCATTTTCCTTTCCTTAAAGATCTGCGGGATTCAAAATAATACCATGTGCAAGCATATATGGCACACTTTTTTATAATATTATCTACCAACACAAGCAGAGCCAAATTGAACTACTAAATAAGCAGTGTACAAAACAAAACTGTAATGTGAGGATAAATTGTTAGAGGAATTCTAATGGAACCTTGATTAATATTATGAAATAGGACACATCTTATTGGTCTATCTTATTGGCTCTTTGTAGATTTAGTATTATTGGTAAAAATTGTATTTGTTGATAATGTTTTTATTTTCTATATATTGTCTTTGTGGAACCGCTAATGACCTTTCTTCTATGTAGTTTTGAGCAGCTGTGCATCAACTTTGCGAATGAAAAACTTCAACAGCACTTTAATAAGGTATGCTATGACCTCTCTCTCTCTCTCTCTCTCTCTCATGTGTGTGTGTGCGCGCACACATGATTTGAACTACTTTGTCTCCCTATTCAGCATGTTTTCAAGATGGAGCAAGAGGAATACAAAACAGAAGAAATCAATTGGAGCTACATTGAATTCGTTGATAATCAAGACATATTGGATCTCATTGAAAAGGTATAAACTTTTGCAAGACATGTGTGACATGTCTGTCAAATATGTTGCTTTGCAGAAGTGATAATTTGATATGCCATTATCAACTTGATTACATTCTAGAGTTATTTAATGGTTCGATAATACCTATATTGATGACAACACATGCCAGACGTAAAATAACTTGTTTATGATCTTGCAACATCATTGATGTACTGAATGATCTAGTAACTGCAACAGAGCATTGAAGTTGACCTTATGCACACTACACTCATTTCATGTATTTGATTGCACAACAATTTCTCTAATATTTTTATAACCCATAATTATGACTATATTAACACTTTGTTCTTTATACAATTATACTCTTCATTGAACTAAACTTTGAAAAGAAGGTTGGAAAAATATATACGATATTTCAGTTTTACTGTGTATGTAGCTGTGTGGTTGTGGAATGCAGTACCATGCCCTATTTATGTTTCTCTGTTGATGTGATCTTCCCTCAATTTGTTTCTAATGCTGTAACAACAAGAATACCATCGTATCTACAACAAATAACAGCAGTTACTTTTATCCATATAAACTAACCCTAAACATATTCTCAACTAATATTTCATGTGTCTATGAAGTGCATATTTAATTGTACTCTGATTTTGTTCTCTCATCAAATTTGCAGAAAATCTTTGTTGCTTATATCCTGTTTATTTCTGTTTGAATAATTTGGTTGTGCTAATGCTGTTCTACTGTGCAGAAACCAATTGGGATTGTTTCACTTCTGGATGAAGCATGGTGAGATGCCCACTTTAAATATTGTGCACTTATGAGTTCTACATTTTGATTTCTTTGTAGTCTTGTTACACAGCATGCTTGGAAAATCAACACATGAGACCTTTGCAATGAAGCTATTTCAGAATTTTAAAGCTCATCCGCGTCTGGAAAAGCCAAAGCTCTCAAAGACAGATTTTGCCCTCTCGCATTTTGCTGGAAAGGCATGTCCCGTGACCAGCATTTCTTGTAAGACATGCTTGGAGTTCCATTGCTTTTGAATGGGTTAGAACATGTGGGATTGACTTCCATATTGTTCCAGGTGATATACCAAACTGAGTTATTTTTGGAGAAGAACCGAGATTATGTAAATTTGGAGCATCAGAATCTTCTTTGTTCTTCCAAATGCTCATTCCTTTCTAGGCTCTTTGCTTTGCAACAAGATGACCCATCAAAATCATCTTATAAGTTTTCTTCTATAGCTTCTCGGTTTAAGGTACATTTTCCACTTTATGGTTTTTCTACTCTAACTTGATTACTTAAATTTGTTGTTATTTTCAATTTGTTCCTTTCTGTCTATTAGTGATCAACATCATAACAGGACAAGTGATGGCCTTATGTCTTGTTATCATTCCGTATGGTTCTTTGTCCTTGACTTTATCATATGTTTATTTACATATTTGGCCAAATATAGATAATCCACTTCAAAATTCTTGTATAATTTATTCACATCATAATTTGAAATGTTTAATTTTCTAACACACTCATGATTATTCTCTAACTTTCATGGTAATAAGGTGATTAATAAAGGGCCAGTATTGAAAAAAAACACAAAAGAAATCATATTTCAAAACAAATATTCCTTTTTAAATTCTGTAATCCAGGAAATAATTTTTTATGGCAACATTTCTTTGTGTGTGCATTAATGCACATGTGTGCTCAAGTGGAACTGACACTTAGATCATTGAATGTTTTAAATTAACAGATATATATTTATCTGCGAATTTCATTTTATTTTTTTTTCGCCGGGCCGGCAAAGATAACCGGCCAAGTTTTGCATTAAGAAGGAGAGAAAGTTTTACAGCAGCCCCTAAACCAGAAAAGGCTTAGGTTACAGAAAAAACTTCACAACAATAAAGACAACAAACAAGCACAGCTGCTAAAACCTCAGCAAATTAACCGCCAGCGATTGCGCTCAGTAGCCCAGCAGCCTTCCATGTTTCCCATTCGTCGACAATTGTGGCACAAAGGTGAACCGCTGAAGTAGCTCGTCCATCAAACACACGTGCATTCCTTTCCTTCCAGACTATCCATGTTACCAATTTCATTTTATTTGGTTTACTTATGATGTGGTCAGTTGTCTAATCTTCACAGCAACAACTCCAAGCGCTTATGGAAACACTCAGCTCAACAGAACCTCACTACATTCGTTGTGTAAAACCAAATTCTCTGAACTATCCTCAGAAATTCGAGAATGGAAGTGTACTACAGCAACTACGTAGTGGGGTTAGTACCATTAAACTTTACTCACATGCACTACTATGTCATGGTTTACGATTCAATTTAGTTACTTCCTTGGATTTTTTTTCTAGGGTGTGCTTGAGGCTATTAGAATAAGTCTTGCTGGTTATCCAACAAGGAGGACATATACCGAATTCATTGATCGCTTTGGACTTCTTGTTCCAGAACATATGGATGAAAGGTAATTTACTGGCTTTCTTAAGACTGAAGAGTACTTCTGAACTTCTTGACACTTCCCATCTTATCGCATAGTGTAATTTGCTTTCTTTGCAATGATTACATGAAATTCCCGGAATTGAGGGCACTAGATGTAGCCAAATCATTTCAACATCCCAGTTATAAATGAAGGAGCAAAAACCAGATAGTGATCTTTCATCAGGGAGAAATTGATTGCATTATTCAGTTTACATATCTACTCTGTTTATGTTGCATACCTAAATTTAGGTATTTGGATGAGCATCATGGTTAGGGAAGTTACGTGACTTATATGTGGCATGCTAGAATTCAAGATCGTTGTGATATTGTGCTAACTTTATGGCTAGTATGTTAGTGACAGTTAGATGGAAGCTTTTGTTTATGCTAAACGGTATATGCATTTTTTGTGGCTCATAATGTCTGCAACCCTCATTTATTAAGCCTTTTGCCTATATGTACAATATGTTGCACTTTGATCTTGATTGTTACATGAGAGTTGTTGACTTGCACATCCAGTTTCATACATTCATGCTAGATATTCAGAAAATATGAGAAATCAAAATGTTTTTGTTGGGGAATCTATCTGGAGGCAGTTCTTTTTGTGGAATTAGTCTAAACCAGATTTATATGTTGCATATTTAGTCCTTCTAGGCTGAAAAGGTGAGTTGTCAGTTGCCCTTGCATGCTGATGCCTGTACTTAGTTCTTCTGTAATTTTTTTTATAGGAACAATGCTTAGTAACTCCATTGTTATGAGAAAGTCTATGCAATGTCTCTCCAGGTGGCTTAACAAAGCTGACTTCACATCATGCATAGAAAAAGATGTTATTCTAATTAAACTCCCTTAGCTTGTATTCTTGCAAACCTTAGCCACATTCAAGTACTTGATTTTTGTGTCTAGTGTTTAATTAGACAACGGATGTGGTGGGCAAAATATTCTTTGGCCCCTGTGCCTCCTGTCATATGCAATGGCTTGCCGCACTTTTGGCACAAATATTGTGGCATGCAACCACATATATATTCAATGTGCTGTAACCTTTTGCTCTACCTGCACAAGAGGTGTCCCATACTTTAATTATGTCTGGGCTCGTGGGAAGATTTGTTTGTGCTTTATTATAGGTTGATGAACACAATGTTGTTTTTACCTGTTACAGGTTTGATGAGAAATCGCTGACAGAAAAAATACTAAGGCAATTACATCTTGAGAACTTTCAAGTACAGTATCCTAATTTTATTGAGGCTTTTAATATGAAAATTTCATTTGCGGATAAGTTCCTTTTTGCCTTAACTTTGCTTTGGTTGAGTATCCTCTGAGCATTCATATTGAACTAATCAGTCTTCCAGCTACCATTCTGAGGCAGCTATTATTTTTTCATTATTTTATTATTGCTTTGCCTGTTTTAGTTTTGGCTTTTATTGAAGAATTTAAGGATTTAGAGTTATATGTATGTGACTTTAATACTCAAATCATTAGTTGGAACTGATTATGAAGTTTAAAAACCATCAAGTACATTGCTCTTATAATGTACATCACTGGCAGAACCAGTCATAACAGTCGAAGAGGCGATTGTTTCATGCGCTGCATATAGATAATTTAATATAGTTATCAGTATTGAATTTGTAATCGACCTTTTTGCAAGACTGACTATATTCTTCAGCTTGGCAGAACAAAAGTTTTTCTCAGGGCTGGCCAGATTGCTGTTTTGGACTCCAAACGTACCGAGATTCTGGAAAAGGCTGCCAGGATAGTTCAGGGTCGCTTTCGAACCTTTGTTGCTTGCAAGGAGTTTCATTCTACTAAGAAAGCTTCTGTTTCTCTCCAAGCATATTGCCGAGGTAAAATATGATACACCGTTCGAGAAAAAAAATGATATACGGAATCTTCTGTTTCCCTTGATTTTTTTCACAGATGTGTTTTCTTATGTCATAACCTTTTCTTATGTCATAACCACTTACGTTCTTCATGAAAATTTTGTGGAGTTGGTTACTAGTGATTTCCTTTACACTTATATGGTCAGTCGTCCATAAATCAAATTCACATGATGCCTTATGTTTCCCTGAGGCAACTTGAATATTTTGACAAACATTTCTTGGGCTTCCAATGTTGTTTCCTGTGGAGTAAATATTAGGGTTCCATCACATAATAAATTCCTTAATTAGAAGTCTTACAGAACCATATTTAAAACATTTTTCCTCTCCAAAAAAGACCGATTTCCTTTTTTCTTATGTAAATGTTGAAGTATCCTGACAGATCTTTTTTCAATCATACTAACAGGGTTTGTGCACTATGAAAATCATCTACGATGCTTAAATAATGGCCTTTGACTTCAACTGTTGTTTCGCAGGGTGTTTGGCACGAAATTTGCTTGATGCTAAGAGACAGATAGCAGCAGCTGTTTCAGTAGAAAAGTATGCTCGGAGATGGTTCTGTCGGTGTGAATATTTGCATCTCCGTTCTTCAGCTCTTGTTATCCAGTCTGGTGTTCGCTATATGCTAGCAATCCAGAAATTGCTGCAATTGAAGAATAATAAAGCTGCTACCATTATCCAGGTCAGCATGATCTTTGAGCCTGTTGAACCAGATGAATCAAAGTACACTCACCTACTCAAAACCTATTTCTGTTTCTCTTGCACACTCACCTACTCAAAACCTATTTCTGTTTCTCTCGTACGCACGGAAATATCATTCACAATTAATTGATGTTCAGTGAGTATAAACAACTATGCTCGGTTTCTAAGTTTCTGAAGCCTTCAAAATTTTGTGGACACTGCATGTGCAGTATTTTTCCATATCACTAAAAAAGAATGACAATCACCTCAGGTGCACCAAGCATGTCAATACTGTCATAGTTTAGTATCTTCTGTCTAATCTTAACTTTATATTAACACCTAGGAGAAAATTAGCTTCATCTTCCGTTAGATTAAATTTGCTTTGTTTTCTCTCGAACACACAGAGGAACTGTGTATCATTACATTAATACAAGAAAAGGTCGTACAAAACACCATTAGATCACATTTGCTACAACTGTAAATTCATGCAAATCTATTGTAGTTCTTATTATTGTTCATTCTATTTCTGCTTCAACACCTTGTATGTTATCTGCTCTATTTTTTTCTTCGAAACAGGAAGTACGTGATGATTAAGCCTTGAAATTACTTAGTTTTGAGATAAATGAATTTCAATAGTTCTGCAAATAACAATTTTGGGATTAAAATTCTTCTTTGTTTATTGAACTCTTTATAAACCAAGGTTTTGAACATTTGATGATTGATTTTAACTTTCAGGTTACATAAGTTTCTCATTGCATTGAGAATGTTGCCCTTTCCCCTTTGAAGATCTCCATGATTATGCTATTGTTCTCTCTTCCTCTATTGCTTGTCTATGTATTTGATGTGTACTAACAATCCTGCCCATTTAACACATAGGCCTTGTGGAGAATGAAGAAGCTCTATGATTTCCATCGGCAATACCGACATGCAACAATTCTGATCCAGTGTTGTTGGAGACAGAAGCTTGCTAAAAGGGCATTTCGGAACCTTAAACAAGTATGAATTTTGATTGTTATCTAATCTCACATAAACCTTTGGTTATGTGGTTGGAAGTAGACCCCAACTTCAAATGATATCTGGAAGCTTGTTAAATTTCTTACACATATAAGATGTCCCAATTTTTTTTTGATAATTGGCTCATTAAGTAATGTTACTCATCAACAAAACCTGTTTTGCTAATTAATACCATCACTTATCATACCAAAGCAAACACATCCATAAAATTGTCACATTGGTAAATATGCTTATGGTTATGATTCATTGGTTAGTATGGCGATTTTTTCTTTTGATAATGGGTAAGCTCGCATTTAAATAGTATGAAGGTTTCTGATGGAAAATCATAACTGCATCTTCAGTGAGTGGGTCGCTAGAATATCCACAATTATTATAGTTGCTGTGAGCAAGTTTCTCTAGATAATAGATCTTGGCTAGACCTGACTTCTGATTTTCGATTTCTTTATGAGTTGGCTTCAGTTTGTTCATGCTTTTTGTTGACTCTTTTTTATAAAAAAGGTTCAGAGTATGCACCAGAATATTTATTCACATGTAGCATATACTGTTAAAACTATGTTCTACATTGGTGCTCTTAGTCCATATTGCCTAGTGGAAAATTTTTCAAGGACTGAACTTATTTTCAAGGCTGCATATGAGACTGGAGCTTTGCGTGAAGCAAAAGGGAAACTTGAGAGGAGCTTGGAAGATCTTACTTTGCGATTCACCCTAGAAAGGAGGCAGAGGGTATGCTTCTTTGTGAGACATATTTTTGTTAATTTATTCTCACTTAACACTTGGTGATTCCTGAAAAAATGTGGTAGCCTCTTTCTTAAAAAAAATGTGGTAGCTTGACAAGAAAAAAAAACACAATTGGTGATTGCTTATTACAAATTATTATTTTTTGATGATTGACAATTTTATTGTCATGTGTATGTCCAGGTAGCTGCAGAAGAGTCGAAGGCACTAGAAGTCTCTAAGCTTCTCAAAATCGTGGAATCATTAAAATGTGAGTTGGAGGCAGCCAATGAAGAAAAAATTAATGGTTGCAAGGAAGTTGCATCAATGCAACAACAGTTAGGGTTATCAATCAAGGATCAAGAACTTCTTCACAGCAATCTTGCTCAGATAGAAGAACTAAAGAGGGAAAATACTTTACTAAAGGTGTTTCCACCTCCTAGAACAGTTAAATTTATTTTATGTCCTTGTTTCAAGTTTTGAGCTCTAGTTACATTTTCAGTCCACTACTTCCAATTTTGAAGAATATACAATTTTCCTTTTAGATCCCAACAATTTCAGACCCATGACCTATGAATTTTACTTATCAATATTTCAATACGATGTTATTTAATTATTGTATATATATTTAGTGTTCAACTCATTGTCTCTGCTAGCTGAACAATGATATAACATAAGCATTCCTATTTACAATTCCAGGACTATTATTTTTCCCTTTCATATGTTGACTGAAATGTGATAGTTTTAACGGCGTTAAATCGTACATTTTATGCAGGGGAAGAATGCAGAAATGGAACAAGAGCTCTTGAAAGCCCAAAAATGCAGCCATGATAATATGGACAAGCTTCATGGCGTGGAAAGAAATTATCTGCATCTTCGGGACAACTTGAAAAAGTAAATTTCCCTCTTACAATAGTATATATATCCTAGGCTTCAGTGTTATTCGCAGGAGGTATTTTGCAAAAGTTCTGTTATTTTTTTATAGTCTGATAGTTACATGTTTTTCCTCAACGAGTATACAAAAGGATTTTTTTTCTTATTTTGACCATACTGTCATGCACAACTCTCATTTACTAAATAATTCACTTTTTGTTATGACAGCTTGGAGGATAAGATCTCAAATTTAGAAGATGAGAACCATTTATTGAGGCAGAAGGCCTTAAGCTTATCTCCTAGGCATAGCCGCACCATGGTACATGGACCTTATATTCTATTCAATTGAGGTATACTATATTCTGAGTCAAAAACTACAGTACTAATGAAGGTATTTATTTTTGTTGGTAGAGCCATCCTATTGGGTCTTCCCCATGCAGCCCAAAGTCATTGATTGTAAGATGCTCAAAACCTAACTCTCGTTAAAGATGTAGGGTCATCTCAGTTACTCTTATACAAATCTCCTTTCAGGAATCTTCACCTGTAAAGATCGTGCCTCTCCCGCACAACCCGACAGAGTTAAGAAGATCAAGAATGAACTCAGAAAGACATGAGGTAGACTCTGTTTTTCTCTCTGTTACGTCCCGAGGTCATGATGGGACAACCGCCGCTGGGAGGATAGGTAGTCGGTGTCGACTCCTGGAAAAGGGATGTAGACTTAGGTAGGGGAGAAGAACATTGGAGGGAGAGATTGGACTAATTGATATTTATTGCTTAATTCTAAATGAATACAATCCCATCCCTTATATATTGAAGCATGTTGTCACGGCCTGAGGCCATGATGGGATAACCACCGCCGGGAGATAGCCAGGCAGCGTCGGCTCCTGTAGAAGGGATGTAGACTTAGGTTGGAGAGAGGAACATTGGAGAAAGAGATTAGACTAATTGATATTCATTGCTTAATTCTAAATGAACTAGGAAGGTAGCCCACGCATTCGCGTGGGCATGCATCATAGACTGTGTTTGAGAAACTTATAAAGGTGAAATATTAACCGAAACATATAAGTAAACGGATGTGTAGCTTATGAAAAATTATAGCTGTTTCAACATTGATTGTTTCTCATCTATTTTAGTAGCTAAAAAATAAGGATGGATTCTAAATAATTTAAGCGAAAATGTATTATAAGATGTTTTGTTTTATCTTAGAATTTCGTTTGATGTTTTTATATTTTTTAAGACATAAGATGTTTTGTTTTATCTCAGAATTTATTTTGTTGTTTTTATATTTTTTAAAACATGACATGTCTCGACTTAAGGTTTTATTAAAATAGATCTAGTTGATGAAAATAATGAATCCATCAAGTTAAGTTGAATTGTTTTCTAATTTTTAAGACATGATACATGGTTACCTAAAAGTGCTATATGGATGTTTAATCAATTTTTGTTATGTAGATTGATTTAATATGATATAGTGCATATAGTCAAGTTTTTTGAAATATCGCATTCTTATATTGAGGTTTTTCAATTTCTTATTTTTCATGTTGTTTTATACTTATACTTTTTAATTTAAATAAAGTCATGAGTATGCAATTCTTATTTTATTTCATGAGATTGTACAACTAATTTAGTTATTTGTGTTTATTAACTGCTATGAGGTGATATGTCATATAATCAATATTGCCAGTTTGCGTCCTTCTTTACAACTTGATAGCATAGGTGTTTATCCAATCTTGGATAGTCAATTTCTTAAACAATGACCTTGCCAATAAATCTTGGCTCAGCGATTGGTGACTAATAGTTTATAAGTATAATTAATACGTAGATTTGAATGTGAAATACAATTGATCCATAAGGTAAGCCCTATATGGGTCTATATGGGTCAAGTACGCTACATCCATATGTCCATATTCATAGTCCTAGGTGGTGTCAAATCTCTATCTAGATTGCCTATTTTTGGACGATGGGAGTATTTAGTTACTTGTAAAAGATTGGTGTATATGTTCAAATGAAAACTTTTATTTTAATACATAAAATATGGGTAATATAAATCTTGAATTATATATTTAATTATAAATAAAAGAAATTCAAGTAAACTAAAAGTAGGTCGGATATAACTTAAAAAATTTAATTATTTAGTTTTCTAATTATTAATTATTTTGATAAATGAGTTAACATTTAGAATACCAAAGAATTGAATAAGAGACAGAGAGGAAGAGAGAGCCGAAGGGGAGAGTACGTATGCATATAATTATAATAATTTTTTTATCAGTTATAGTGTTTTAGCTGCTATTACTTTATTAACTAAAAATAAAATAAAATTTTTAATGATCTATTAAAATCTATCTTTTTTAACTCATCTATACCTACAATATATTCATAGTTGATATTAAAAATATGAACACTACAAATCATTTTTTTGTAAGTAGCACACTACAAATCTAAAAATCTAATAATGTTATTTTGACTTTTTGTTGTGTTAGAATGGGGGTCTAATTTTTTTAATATTACTCAATGTCATGTTCATTTTACTTTTATTATATCTATTTTTTTTATCAAGTTTTGTACGGTGATAAAATATATATCACTATTTTTTATAATTCTATAATTTTTTAAGTGACACGAAAAAGTCGGATGATGTAGCCTTAATTAATGTGACATATTTCTTCTCAAAGTTGAATTAAAGTGGATATGAGTTTTTAAATGTAAAATAGTCAACGAGCGGATCATATATTAGTTTTATGATTAAGATGTTATATTTGTTTAATTGTTTAACAATAGCATTTTTGTTTTTTCTAAAAGCGTGAAAATAGGAAAAGAAATAGGTAATAAAGTGGGGGACATAATTGAGAGGGGAAGTAGACGTAAGAAACGTACGTATATACGTACGTCATGCCAACAGGCCCAGGTGGGCCCAGATATGAGAAGACGATTTTTTTTCAAAGATAAATCTAATGGCTACAAATAATGGGTCCACCAAATTTAATGAAAATTAACGGTTAGCTTTATTTTTAAGATTTTCTTTAGTGCCACGTGACAGCTTAGGAGTGTTTATAGGATGCCACATGACGGTTTAGGAACGTTTGTAGGAAGTTTAATGGACTTTTAGTACATAATAGATAGATATACATAATAGATAGATAGATACAGTCCCATCCCCTATATAGAGATGGTAGGACTTTGACCCGAAGTAACTAACTTGATACGATCTATCTTATCTCATAATCCTATCTTATCACATAACCTGATGCTACAGTACCTGTGGTACTGTTCACTCGCCAGGAATCAGGTCCATGGGCCTTGGCCTCTCGGCCCAATGCCTACGACACTCTCTCCCTAAAGAAAACTGACAGCATGTGTTCTTATCTTCAGAAAATTATATACAACTTCTGTGTAGCTTCAGCGATGGATTATTTTTGTACCAAGTCGGTAATCACGTTGAGTGATTCCTTTCAGGAGTACCATGAACTTCTACAGCGGTGCATCAAGGATGATATGGGATTCAAGAAGGGAAAACCAGTCGCTGCATGTGTCATTTACAAATGTCTTCTCCATTGGGGAGTATTCGAGGCTGAAAGAACAACTATTTTCGACTTCATAATTCAGAACATCAATACAGTTCTGAAGGTTGGCATCCTATTTTATACCCTTAACTGCTTACATTACATGACCATGGTTTACTGGCCTTAACGTTTTGTTCTTCAGACAGAAAATGAGAATGATATTCTGCCTTACTGGCTAGCCAATGCATCTGCCCTTTTATGTCTGTTGCAAAGAAACTTACGGTCAAAAGGATTCATCGCGGCGCCTTCTAGATCTTCTTCAGATCCTCACTTATGTGAAAAGGCAAATGATGTCAGTTCCAACCCTCAAGCTTAATTATCAGCTTTTCAGTTTATACATATTTTCCGTTGTTCATGATAAGATTTTCATTATCTAAAACAAATTTTCGCAACTGCATTATTTCCTGTATTGCGCAAGTATTTTTCCAAAATATATATCTGTCCCTGCTGTTATATATCAGGGCTCATTGAGTGGCTAGCAGGTAGCTGTTTACCCATTAAATTAATTCTGACCAATAGTAACTATGAGGCATTTAATCCTCGTATAAAAGTATATATAAAACTATAAAATTACGGAAATACAATAGCATGTTAAATAAGAAAAATGTAAAGACAAGATAGCTGAAACCAGATGGTTTCCGGAATACATGGAACTGGTATTTCTAAAAAGAAAATTTATTTACCAGATAAATTGCTACCCATATATCTGAAATTATTGTTTATCATGTCTAAACTTTTTTTACAGGCTCTCAGACCACCTTTGAAAGCTTTTGGACAACGGAATAGCATGTCGCATATAGATGCTAAATACCCAGCTATGTTGTTTAAGCAACAACTAACTGCTTCCTTGGAGAAGATATTTGGCTTAATCCGTGACAATCTTAAGAAAGAGATATCACCTCTTTTGAGCCTCTGCATTCAAGTAAGCAATTTTTTTAGCTAATATTTTCTTTAGCAAAGTCATTGATGGCATATGTACATTCAACCTATTCATATTCAAAACTAAGTTCAACTGTTGTATGACACTGATAAAATAAAGGCACCAAAACTTGCTCGAGGAGGCAGTGGAAGGAGGTCGAGATCGCCTGATGTGACCTTGCAGCAACCAATAAGTGCTCACTGGGATCGGATTATAAAATTTTTGGACTCATTGATGGACAGGCTGCATAAAAACTTTGTGAGTTTTTCATGCACCGTTTGATGTTCTTACTCCAAATACGCAGTACCTTTTTTTAAATCAAATTCCATCCTGATTAACTAGCATTTTATCTGTAGAAAAGTCATGCAGATGTACCTCTGAACTTTCTCTTATCCTTTCTGTAGAAGTGTGCCCTTGCATTTGATGACTAGTTTTAGGTGAATGATAATGGGGTCGTATATGTTTTTTATATACTACCCAGACCATTCAGTTTTTCGGAATCATGTTATGTAGTTTGGTATGTTATGCCATTCACTGGTACAACAGCTGGAGGATGCTCTGGTGAAATTCTTTGTTTCTACTTAGGGCAAGTACTATGGGCATCAAAGCACAATCTACTAGGTACCACATAAGCTTAAATAGTGAGGTGGAGGAGAGATAAGATGAGAGAGATAAGGAGCCACCTCTTATGCAAGAGGCAACCACTACACAAAATTCAAGACAAAAGGAGAGAGAGGAAGAGTAGATTGGGCAAACAAATATTGGGGCTAGTGTATTAGAATTAGTATAGATGTAATATATTGTACATGTTACCTCTACATTTATTAGTTGATGATATGGTTAAGATTAGATGCAACATTCACCTCTTTTATAAAACATGCCCTTATCAGCTTATTTTACTTCTGTCCATTGTTCCTAGTTTTTAGTAATTTTTGGTGGGGTCCTTGTAGTTGTTTGTCTTTATGACCTTAGAGCCCTTAAAAATCTTATATATCAATGTTCCATTGTTCAGGTGCCTTCTTTTTTCATTCGCAAGCTAGTAACTCAAGTTTTCTCCTTCATAAATGTACAATTGTTCAATAGGTCAGTCTGATTCATGCATGCCAACTACTATTTCAGTAAGGCTGCTGGTCAACAAAATATTGATTTAGTTTCCTCCTTTTCATGTCTAAGCTTGCTCCTACGACGGGAGTGTTGCACATTTTCAAATGGAGAATATGTGAAAACTGGGCTCTGTGTACTGGAGAAATGGATTCTGGATGCTACAGAAGAGGTTTGTTGCAGCTGTAGCTCTTGTTTCGTTGCTGATGATGAATATAGCATCTAATCTTTTCTACTTTGTAGCATGCAGGTGCAGCTTGGGATGAGCTAAAGTACATCAGAGAGGCGGTTGAATTTCTGGTAATATCTAGTATATATCATGTTTACGTAGCTAGAGGTTGCCATTAATTATTACCACGCCACCTTACCTTCTGTTAATAATATTTACTGGAAATTGCAGATTATTGCACAGAAAAGCAAAAGGACTCTTGAGCAGATTAAGAAAAATATTTGTCCGGTATAGACAACTTACAATAGCAGAATTTTCTCTACTATACAATTTATACTTCACATAGAATTTATTTTCCTCACACGGCGCACTTATTTTGTTTTACGGATATCTGTCAGGCGTTAAGTGTGAGGCAGATATATCGTCTATGTACGATGTACTGGGATGACAAATATGGTACCCACAGTGTATCAGCCGAGGCATGTTCTCATCTCCTCTTGAGCTGTGAACTGTGATCTATGGCCATGTTCTTTCTTTCGGCTAACTTGTGGATTTCTTTAATTGCAGGTTGTTGCCAAAATGAGGGACATGGTGAGCAGCGATGCACAAAATCCAGTGTCAAATTCATTTCTCTTGGATGACGACTTGAGGTTAGTGCCCCCAAAATGTCCATGAGCTTTGATTGCATACGTTTATCTGACCTGTACATTCATCATCCTTCCTATCTAACCTCTGCAAATTGCAGCATTCCTTTCACGACAGAGGAGATAGCAGAGGAAGTACCGGACATAGACATGTCAAACATCGAGATGCCCTCATCACTTCGTCATGTACACTCTGCTCAGTTCCTGATGCAGCACCTTCAGACAACGTACCCGCTAAGATGAATTTGCCTAGGCGTGTTATCTGATAGGCGATAAGGATGATCCAATTGCTTAGTTAGAGAGGAATTTTAAGTCAGTAATCATCATGTGGTTTGCCTAGATTTTTCTCAGTATGACTCGGTGATCCACTTAAAATGGCGCATTGCTTTGTTGCCATGCCTAGCACAAACCTAAAATTGCAGAATCTAAGGATAAAAATGTGAAGTCTTTAACATGGTGACATTTTTCGTACCAATCCATACTCATGTGCGCAAGTTCTTAACTTCTCTAGTTACTAACAAATCATTATTGTAAGTGTTCAATTATTGTTTAGTTGCTGCAATCAAGGACTAATTTGTAAACTGAAGACTTTACATGTTTGACTCGTTGACCTGTACGTCTTCATCCCAATTCCAGTTGGAATGGATCGTTTTTGTAGTGTTTTCTTGTCTGTCTCTCAGAAAGCATGATACCAAAACAGTGCAATTGACTTGGTTACCTGCTGTCTATATATTATCGTGCACTTTATCCTTGACATGGACATGGCATTCGTTTGGTAGGTCTGACAAGGATTCAAAGTTTAGACTAGAGAAAGATGACAAAATTACAGATGACGATAGTCACATTAAGCCCAAATTGTGTCAGAGAAACTTCTTTTTTATGAGATGGTTGTCTTAGACAAACTAGGGAAGGTCACAAATATCGGCAGCGTAAACGCGTTGATGTGGGTCACACGTGCAAGAGTCGGATAAAAACCAACGGGTTTTCGATTGACTATTGTAGATGGAGAGCCCACAAATAATCATCTCGACTTATTTATATGTTTGTCTGAACAATTGACCTAGTGATTTCATGAGTTTTCACAGCTTGAGATCGATGAGCAGAAGATGTGGATGAAACGTTTATCAATATCTCGATATCAAGTTGCATTCACTAACCAGTTTATGAGCTCCCCGCAATGAGTGGACGAGATTCAATTGTGCTTTAGACATGTTATAAGAGCAAGTCTAATAGAGATTCAATTGTGCTTTAGACATGTTATAAGAGCAAGTCTAATAGTATAGCCCACTACTAGCTCTAATTTATCTATAGCCGATCTAATAGCCAATTCATCCAATTCATCCAATAGATACTTACTATACTATTAATATATGGTCTCACCTATCATACGCACATTGTTATTTTCTTTTATTTTTTATCTTATTAAAATATATTTATAGCTAGCTAATAATCTGCTATTGTACCTGCTCTAAGGTGGTGGTTACTTATCTAACCTGATCCTTGGGATTCTCTTTATGCTACAAATTGAAGTTTTGATAGCAGTTTGTTCAGTGACAGAGACAAAGGCTGCGTAGGCACTTCACATACAAGTCTAACTTGTTCCACATGCTGACAAAAGAGTAATCAAACAACGCTGAACCAAGTGTTCCCTAGCTATCATTGGTCAGACACAGCGACTAGTAAATGGATCAAATGCAACCAAATAGACACCAGATATTCCATTTTAAATGTTTAGTTGGTTACTACATTCTGGGTTTCTACCTATCATATATTAGTCGTTCAATTATTTAAATTGCTTTTAAGTGAATGATCTACTCCTAACTTTCTTGTACTGTGTTTTGTCCTTGTCTTCCATCTGACAAAGCTTTTCTAGATTACCTTATAACATATATATTCTAGCGAAGAATACAAAAGCCACAGCTGTAGTTAATTAATAAATACATGTTCTTAGGTGTAATAAACCAACCAATCAATCGTCTCATCAAGAACAAAACCACATTTACTAACTAATGAAAACACCACTATAAGATGGCGAATGGATGTTAAGGAGTACTTCAGTGTGATTTGTTACGAGAAGTCTCATATTCCCTCCGTCCTAAAACATCTATTTTTGTCACGGATAGAATAACTCATAAGCTAGCGTCTTAACAAATTTTGCACTATAGCACACATTGTTAGATTTATTAATTGATGGACATTTTTGTATTTTTTGCCTAATATTTAATACGAGTTGTAATAATAAAACATTACATAGATTCCCCGTAAAAAAAAATAAAACATTACATAGATAATAAATAAAATCCTACAACCTCCATAACTAATTATTAACTATATGATCTAAATATATTACTACCTCCAACCCATATATGAGATTTTTCTATGTAACTATATGGACCAACTAGAAACCCTTCCGCTCCTCCGGAAAGATATAATCCTTTTTATCAAGAGACGAAGGTAGTAACACCTTTATTTTTATTATATTGATAATCTCTCGTTCTAAAAATAATCTGTAGTACACTATGTTAATGCCATCTCCTCTGTTTTAGATTGTACGTGAGGTGTTCTGATTTTCTCCTAAGTCAAATTTTTTCATGGTTGACTAATTAAGTATATAGAAAGATATAGCAACATTTACAACATTAAACTAATTTTATTAAATCCACGTTGAATATATATTTTTCTAATATATTTGTTTGGCGTTGAAAATGTTGCTTCGTTTTCTTGTGAACTTTGTTAAACTTAAAAAAGTTTGACTTAAGACAAAACCAAAACACTTTATAATACACTCCGTTAATGCTACCACCTCCATTCAGAATGTACGTAAGGTGTTTTGATATTTCCCAAGTCAAATTTTTTCATGGTTGACTGAGTAAACATAAAAATATAGCAATATCTATAATACCAAATTAATTTCATTAATTCCACCATTGAATATATTTTTATAATATATTTGTTTGGCATTATAAATGTTGCTTCATTTTCCCGTAAACTTTGTCAAACTTTCGAAAAAAAAGTTTGACTTAAGACAAAAGCAAAACACTTTACATTCTGATATGGAAGGAGTAAATTAGTTATATTATGAGATGAGGAGAGTAAAGTAGTTATATTTTGAGACATATGTGAGAGTAAACAAAACACATCTCCACAACCCGCAAACTAAGTCCAGGTATCGATCCTCCATGAGTCAAAATACCACCTCACCCTAGCTCCCAACCGAGACAATAAACGAAATTAAGGCAATCTAGTTTTTTTTTACATCTCTCCTTAACTCCATGAAAAACTAGACATATATTTATACTAGCAGAGTGCCCATGTGTTACAATAATGGCGAACAATTTAGGAAACTTCATTTTATCTAAAAGAGAAAACTCATTCACTCTTTAGAGACGTCATTCGTTATAGATGGATGATACTTGATATACCGGAGAACCTCGTAAAATTAGGAAGTCATGGAGAAGTATATTGGGTGTACAATTTGGGAATCATGGAGAAGTATGTTGTAAAATTACAGAGGGTATAGTCTTTTAAGATTGTATGTATAGATATTGAGACGGATAAAGTAAAATAGTTATATTTTGAGATAGAGGCCGAGAGTAAATAAATGAAATTGCTGGAAAGCTTCTGCAAGTGTTTTGCCCCCCAAAACTTTCAGATTTGCAATCATCGGATTGCCTTGGGATTTGAGCATGAAGAGAAAAAAATTGCTATAGAAAGAAATTTTTACACATGTCACGCGTAAGATCCTAGTGCTAATCAGCCAAACCATAGTTAAATACAAGTTTTATAGTTAAATACAAGTTTTATATAACTTATATTGTAGTATAGTTACAATGCAATTACAGTATAGATACAGTGGCTTCAATTATACTATAATTATATCTAGAAGTTTTTCACTAAAAAACTTGTAGCAGTTTTTTAAAATATCTATATACCTAACTAAAAAATACATAAGGATTCCGGTATTTTTTGTCCATCACTTTTTTAAGGTTATTTTCGCCCTTTTTTTTTTCCTTTTTACCGTTCCTCCACTTTTTTTTTCCTTTTTCCACCCACCTTTCTTTTCTCCTTTTCCGTTTTCTTTTCTTTTTTTTCGTCTGTTTTTTATTTTTTTAGGGGTGTTTTTTCCTTTTTCTCCATTCTGTCTTGATCTATTGTATCTGTTTTTTTTTATCAAAATCTAAGCGAATCCATAAAGCTCGATATAAACGGTGACTTTTAAGTAGAGATTAGATCCTATAAATTAAAGCAGAATTGAAAGGAAAAAAAACATGGGAAAAATCATGGAGTAGTAGTGAGGAATCTATTTTTGCAATCAATTGAAGGAGGGAACACATTAGGAGGCAGATCGAACGTGACAGCCAAAAAACGGAGAGAAAAAAGACCGAAGAAAAAAAAGAAAAAATGGCGAAAAAAAAGAAAATACACTCTTCCGGGGTTTGAAGACGGCAGTCAGCTAGCTATACGAGTTGAGCCTATAGCTCCCATTGTGCGCTATGTCAAAGAGAGGTAGGCTAAGCACAGAGATGACGTACTAGGCTGGGATTGAAAAGGAAGGAATAAATGAGTTTTTCTGTTCGATCCTCCAAAATTGGTTGAGGGTTTTTGATACACTTGATCTACTGTTTCCTTTTTATCAAAATTTAAGCAACTCCATAAAACTCGGGATATAAACGGTGACTTCTAAATAGAGATTAGTTCCCATAAATTAAAGCGGAATTGAAAAGAAAAATCATGGGGAAAAATGATGGAGTAGTAGTGGGGAATTGATTTTTGCAATAAGGACGGAACACATTAGAGGCAGATCGAACGTGACGGCGAAAAAAAAAGAGAGAGTGAAAAGACCGACGAGAAAAAAAAGGAAGAACGACAAAAAAAATAGAAAAGACACTCTTACGGGGATTGAAGATTGAAGACGGCAGTCAGCTAGCTATGCGAGTTGAGCCTATAGCTCTCATTGTGGGCTATGTCAAAGAAAGGTAGGCCAAGCAAAGAGATAAGGCACTGGGCTGGGTTAGAAAAGGAAGGAATAAATGAGGTTTTGACCAAAAACCAAGGAGTATAATGTATAGTTATCCAAAAATATTTTTATCCATTGTTGAAGACAGTTGTGGGCTATGCTAGCTGGGTCTACAGCTTCACCTGTGGGCTAGATCAAAGAGAGGTAGCGGGCTGGGTTAGGACTGAAATGGAACGAATAAATGAGCTTTTGGTCTAAAGCAAATAGTATAATGTATACGATCCAAAAATATTTTTACCTGTTGCAACGCACGGGTATTTTTTTTAAGTATCTAATAAAATAAATAAAACACTATCTCGGCATCGGAAAACTAAGCCCAGGTATCGATCTTCCATGAGTCAAAAGGCCACCTTACCTCCCTAGCTAGGTACTATACTAGTCTACCCTTCTCAACCAAACCAAACTTAACCAAACCTCCCTCGATAGACCATGACAACAACCACTCCTACAAACAAAACCCACCCCACCCACAAATTAAACACACCACCCTCAATATATATCATCATCATCATCCCCCAATTCCCAACACCGCGACGTGCTTCCTATAAATTAACTCCCCCCGATCCTCCTCCCAACCATTCCACACCTTGGCAATCATGGGGAAGAAGACGACGACGTCGTCGTCGCCGTCGTGGAGCTCGCTGTTCGGGCTCGGCTGCTTCACCTCCTCCCACAGCGACGGCGGCTCGGCGGCGGCCAAGAACCCGGGGACGCCGCTGCCGGCGCGGCCGTCGTCGTGCAACAGCAACGACGGGGTGGCGGCGGCGGTGATGCCGTCGCCGGAGGACCTGTCGCAGTCGCTGGCGGGGAGCGGGGTGGAGGCGTTCACGGTGGAGGAGCTGAGGAGGGCGACGCGGGACTTCTCGGTGAGCAACTTCGTGGGCGAGGGGGGGTTCGGGCCGGTGTACAAGGGGTACGTCGACGAGCGGCTCAAGCCCGGCGTGCGCGCGCAGGCCGTCGCCGTCAAGCTGCTCGACCTCGAGGGCTCCCAGGGCCACAAGGAATGGCTGGTAATTAGTTTAACTCCTCCTCTCTCACTAATTAATCTCATTTCTCATCCAGTTATTAATTACCCGGTGATTAATTGATTAATTAACGGCGAATTAGTTAGATTGATTGATTACTATACGGCCATTCTCAATCCAATGATGGATGGTATCCATAATATTAAATAAGCTGCCACCTAAAATAAAAAATAATGTAACAAGTGAATAAATGAGAAAAGAGAAAAAAACCAAGACATCATGTGAGATAAGTAGCATTAAATTTAAGTATGGAAAAGTGATGTTTACATTAAAAGAGTAGTGTCTAGTACTAGTTTCTTAATGATGTGGAGCTTATGAAAACTATATCTACTGTCTTAGGTGGGGACTGACCTACTAATCAAAGCCTCACTGAGATTATCTTATCAATGCAATTAATTAAGTCTTCTTGTGAGAAATGAAGTATAAAGTTTCACTGAGAGAGATTATCTCATCAAAGTAATGATCAAGTCTTTTGTTACTATAAATGAAGTAAATTAAGCAAGTCTCACTGAGACTATCTCATCATATGTATAGTACTAATTAAGATCACTGAGATTATCAGTACGATTTCAAGTCAAGTAATTAATTAATTAGTAGTCATAGTATTGTAGTTAATTGTCCCTAGAACTAAGATTAGAACTCCCTAATTACTGATCAGTGGGTGTTGTTCTTGAGGACGTGCTTCTATTTGCACTAATTTTAAAGCAAATTTTAGTTGACGGTGAGAGCAAAGAATGACTAAAGAGTGAGATAATGGCTGACGCACAACAAAATGAAATTCAATCGATTAGTATGTATATTTTATCTGTGACTGATTGTTAGGTAAATATTTTCATATCATTTCCATATTGTGTGCAAAGTCAATACGGAATTCTATGGTTGGAAGGACAATTTTGTGGGAATTGCACCTTTTTCTACAAAATTTCTTAATTTGGAAATTGTCCACTCTACACATGTCGTTTAATTTGCCTTTGAACGCATGACTTGGTAACGATAGTTTACTAATCAACACGCAGTATTTGAGTTAGCATATATAGCCCCATTACTATAGTTAGTCGTTAATGTTTCACCGAAATTAATAGGGGTAACGTTTGTGATAATTAGTTGGGACTAATTATCAAGCTGTGTTAAGCCCGTGCATACCGTACAGTATGACACTTCCGTTTCTTTCGTAAACCGGATTTCAAGGGCCATGATGTTGACTGTGCTATTAACCCTGACTTCATATTTAAGCATATTTTAATTTAACTTCGGGAAACTGCATTAATTGAAAAGAAAAGGCCAAACTGCAAAAGTCCAAATTAAGCAGTAGTCAATCTCTTTTCATATTATTGAAGGCCAGTTTATCTAGCATGCATTTACTGGCTCCAGTCAAAACAGAAAAAAGAAATACGAGAAAATAATGATATTTTGGATAGCGACACTGTCGAATACACTAGTTTGATTATTGATAACTAGTAAATTTGTTTAGCAAAGTTATAATATCATGAAACTAATTTAATTTGAAGATAAATCTAGCTATATACCATTTCTTAAAATTAAGTTGAACCAAAATATTCAAATATAAGTTGTTGGTCGAAAGTTTAAATGTGTTAACTACGTACGTACGTACGTTATGAAACTTCACACTCATGGGAGGGAATATATATGATTTAGTGCAATGATTTTATTTTGTCTTTAAAGAAGTCGTTTGTATATTTTTAACAAGGTTCCCTTTTAAGAAAACACATAATAGAATTAATTCGTCTTGAACTTTTATAGACGATGATTTCGATCAGTTCAGTACAAATTGAGCACACACACAAACAGTTGCAACGTCCATTTTAGTACTTCATTTGACAACAAACAAGATCGGATCACACATAAGAATCCTGTCAATGCTGTGGTAAATCCTACTCCAAAGCAAATTGAATAATTATTAGTGCATGCCAGCTACTTAGTTAGCTGTGATCCCTTCAGAAAGTCGCCACGTCTTCCTCTCATGATCATTAGTTCATACTTAATCTCCTATTAAAATCCTTTAGTACCCGGAGGCAAGGATAATGTCGATCAGCCACCTAACTAACTATATATACTGCAATATGCTATTTGTTTGGTCAAACAATTAGTATTTTTAAGAGTGGTTACAGGTTTTGGTCAAATTCTGACATAACTTAATTATACTGATGGAATATGGGCATGTGTTGAACTAATTAATGGATTATATTATGTAAAATTTGGGCAGGCTGAAGTCATATTTCTTGGGCAATTGAGACATCATCACCTCGTCAAGCTGATCGGATACTGCTACGAGGATGAGCACAGACTTCTCGTCTACGAGTTCATGGCTAGGGGCAGCTTGGAGAAGCACCTCTTCAAAAGTACGGCAAATTCCATCTTATGCTTCCTTTTTTTCTTTCAACCAAAATCCCAGAAATAAACAAAGAAATTTTAATTCAAGACATCTTTTAGGCATTTAATTGTTTAAACCAAAATTAAGCATTCTATTATTTCATCTTCAGCTTATTATCAACCACGTCACAAGTTTAAATTTTAAAACTTAATTTTAGAATTGATTTACTATTTTTTATCCTATTTTATTTTTCAGTATTGATTTTAAGTCGCTAAGAACATATATAAAAGTTATCCCTCCAAATCATTTGTTATCACTAATAAACGTTACGACTTATAACAAAATGATGGCACACTTATAAATAGCCACATTCAACATCCCTCTCTATTAACTACCCAACCACATCTCTAATGAGAGGGCATGATATTATTCTTTTAAATATTTTTTATTGTTCTGATAAATATGAACTGGTTAATGGAACTACGAAAAATTAGTATGAGAGAGCATACAACACAGTACAAAAGAAATTGTAGATTTGTTTTACAGGAATGATGAATCAAACTTTTTCTACTTTAGCATAAAAATATTTGTGTATATACATATTGGATGAACTCCCAAGGTATACCAGATCATAATCAAACCGTAGGTAATTAGCTCTTCATTTGCCAGTACATATAGTTGAAGTAAGCAAATGATTACAAGTCATCCAAGTTTTAGATTGTGTTAATTTGGCCATTTCCATTTCCAATTAGAAATTTATATGTACTGGCGAATTTCTGTTGAAGTAATCATTTCTGTTTGAAGTATTGTTAATTTGACCATTCCCGTTTACATTGTGCTTAGAAGTATTCCAACTTAGACCCTCAAAATAACACCCCAACTCCAGCCGTGCATGCAACTTATTAATCAAGAGAAGTCATCCTTTTGCATTATTCCACCACACTGTGGCTCCAATTTTTCCATGGTTCATACTGCTTTTGAGAGGGTTTTACACATGTTAGTGTCAAATCTGTTACATGTTTACATCAACGTTCTCACGAGCATGTACACATGGTAAAATAATATCATGTCCTCGTTTATGTGATGCAAGCATGACACAATTTAATTTCTTAATTTCTTATCGTTTAATTTGGTGTGTGGCCTAAAATTCGTTTTGGTCATCAGCTCAAATTAAAGTGACAACACACATTCCCATTGTTAGTTGATAAAGGGATCGAATTGAAGCGTGGAAAAATAAGCATAAATTTCTAATTGCTTTGATAGTTTATCAAATTGGAGAATCCAAGTAGGCCACAATGATTACAAGTCATGTAATTTGGATAAGGCACTTATATAGGCCACACAAGTCAAAAGTAGCCAATCATGCATGTGACAACAAACAAAATGTTAATCTCATCATAAAAGATAAAAAAAGTGCAGATAGGGAAAGCAAAATGCTGGTGTGGAGTGATGGCTTTATGGGTGTATAACTCCATCTACCAGAGTTTAAATTTCGATAACAATAATAGTATAAACGAATTTACTCTTGGTCTTTATCTCTTGACCATGTGTTAAGAGCTGCATTCATATAGGTGCTTTTGTGTGCTTGTGTATTTTCTACATAATAAAAGAAATAGTGCATCATCTGCATTACCATGGAAGCCTATATATATCATTCTAATGTGGTAATCAATGTTGTCAACTTCACAAGATAGAATGGAAGACAATTCATGCTCTCAGTTATTTCTGGTAGCTAGCAATTAATCTTCTTTAATGTTGGTATCAAGACAACAAAAAATATTCAAAGCTTGCATTGAATTAATTTCAGTGGAGATGCACATACTTACTACTTAATTGGCTGCTCCTAACAATTTGCATTGCCGCCTTTTGCTTTCATCATCTGATTTGTCGATGGGTCATAATTAGTTGTAGATGAAATAATGCATGAACTGATCGATTGTGCAAATTGAAACTGCAGAGTACTCTGCGTCGCTGCCGTGGTCAACACGCTTGAAGATCGCCATTGGAGCGGCCAGAGGTTTGGCCTTCCTCCATGAAGCTGCCAAGCCCGTCATCTATCGCGACTTCAAGACCTCCAACATCCTACTCAACTCGGTATACATATCTATCTATATGAGCTTATTTATACATTGGTTTTTATCCAACATCCTTTTAATATTTCAAAATAGTACTTATATATATTGTTTTTATCTATCTTATTTCATCCATAAAAACAAGTTTATCATGCAAAAATACCAATAAGGATGCATTGTTCTAAAGAAAACCTTATAACTAATTTGTTCTAAGCAATATATATCCGTAGCAGAGGATGTGTATTAAGCTAGTAACAAATTGTCTTTATCTGTATATATGAATTATAAATGAGTGGAGCACACATTAAAACGCTGCAATTTATCAAATGGAAAGGAAATATTGGAGAGCTTCTCCCATCCTGGTAGCTGTTGTCATATGACATTTTGTGACTGACATTGTTTAATTATTGGTAGGACTACGAAGCAAAACTTTCGGATTTCGGACTGGCCAAAGATGGGCCTCAAGAAGACGAGACACATGTCTCCACTAGAGTGATGGGCACACAGGGCTATGCCGCACCAGAATACATCATGACTGGTACTAAAATTGTCACACATATAGTCTACCTAGCTAGCTAGTTTTGTAAACGAGTAGTGGCGAAGTTTAACATAATATACCTTTCATGTACCCTAAAGAAATAAAAATATATACCTTTCATGTTTCAACTAATTGGCTATTAATATTACTTCATGTTATTGCAGGTCATCTAACGACAAAGAGCGATGTGTATAGCTATGGTGTGGTGCTGCTGGAGCTACTAACCGGACGGAAAGCCGTGGATAAGAAGAGACCGCCGCGAGAGCAAAACCTAGTGGAATGGGCTCGGCCATGCCTACATGACTCTCGCCGGCTCAACCGTGTCATCGACAAAAGCTTGAACGGGCAGTACTCGACTCGAGCCGTACAAAAGGCTGCGGCCATAGCGTATCAGTGCTTGAGTGTTAGCCCTAAGTCTCGACCCCGGATGTCAGCGGTTGTGGAGGCCCTGGAACCACTTCTGGCCATGGATGATGGCATTGTAGAGCCATTTGTGTACATGGCACCACCCGAGAGTAAATAAATGAATCAATAATTTGTGTGGAGCATATGTACAAACATGCCATTCTCCAATCCTTGCAATCAATTTAAAATATAGAAAATTCTCCATTTGCATTTAGAAATTTCAGCATATCCCTGTATGCCTCTGAGTTTTTCTTAAGAGTAAATTATATTGGTGATACACAAACTTGTTAGGTGGGTTTAATTTAGTACATAAACTTATAAAATACTTGTTTTGGTGCACGGACTTGTCTAATTCCTGTTTCACACCTTATGCATGTTTAGCACCTTTAGGCATGATTTTTTTATATATTACACCAACTTATGCCAAGTTCGGCTAATTTTAATGAAACTTTCTGTTGATACTATTGTCTACTTAAATTGCCAAACTTTATACTCAAAAGCTTTCTTAAAAAAACTTTACGCGGGCAAACTTTATGCCCAAAATCAAACTTTTTATTGATAAACTTTACGCACATATAAACTTTACAAATCTAAATAAACATTCGGTGTAAGTATTGTATACATAGAAATTGAAATATAGGGTATAGAAACTCTATACATATAAATTTTTTATATAGAAAATTTATACATAGAAACATTCAAAACTAAAAAAGCAAACTTTTTACTGATTAACTTAATACACAAAATCGGACTAAATTTTCTACTTGAAACATTTCTCTGACCATTAAATAATAAATAGATGAAATACTAATAGAAGTTCGGCTTAGAAAAATCAAAATTAGAAGTCATCTGTCCTACTCACATCTAGCGATCTAGCACTTATGAATTAGTCACATATGCAATTTTGACCAGATACATGTGTGTATCGTACATACAAAGTCGCATTGAAGTAGGAGGATGCGCATGTTAGCGAGGAGCTGTGGACGCGAATGTTCGCACAAGACTTACCGGCCATGCTAGCCTGATTATTTTTGGGCCCTGGTGAAGCGGGAATCAAAGGGTAGGCTCTTGATAGCGGGAAAATATACGGTGGAAACTTAAGAAACTACTGTTGGATCGAAAAATAGACGTTCGAGATTCGTCCATGTCATCACGAGTAAAAATTTTACTCCCACATCGTGATTAAAATTTTTACTCGTGATGACATGGATGAATCTCGGATGTCTATTTTTCGATCCAACATTAGTTTTCAAGTTTCCATCACATATGTGGTTTCCACCGCATATTTTTCCCTTGATAGCTAGGCCAGCAGCTTGCACACTTCGCTATATATATATGGCCATGGTAGCTCTCATATCACCCCGCCAATCCACCATTGCATATCGATCTACGGAGGACATCACCAGATAGTAATACCAAAGATCTCAATTAAAAGGAGAAAGCCATCCACTGGGAATGTACAGAATAATTGTCCAGATACAGTGCAATTGATGGTTATAATATTGGGGCATCTAACTGCAACTTGGTACTCCCTCCGTTACAAATTGGTGCTTTTTCACACTTAGCTTAGCAGATCCAATTTTCTTACATTATTATTGAAAACGAAAATAAAATGACTCTCGTTAGATTCTTGTGGTGGAACTAACCGAGACCCAGGTTCATACATACATCTGCCGGCCCATTAGGCCACGACAGAAAGTTTGATGCGATGAGACGAGCGTGAGGTCCAATGGCAATCGCATGCCGTAGATAAGAGAAGACATATCAAATGTCAGGACTACAGTAGAAGATATCATCAACAAGGTAGTCGCGTTATTTCATATCTGCCATTCTTTGGTCTATTGCTGTGGCAATGTAAGTGACTTTTTAGGGGTATTGAAAAGACTTTCTCCTCCAAAATTTTCTGTTGGAATTTAATGGGAATAGCTCAAACATATTTATTAACAAATATATGTGTGCCCTGATCTAGAGATAAATAACTGTGTGTGTGTGAGAGAGAGAAGATTCTCAAGATGTGATCACGGTGGTGGCTAATAGAATATACGGGTCTATGGATGTGATATATCCCAGTGGTGGCCAACTGGCCATTGGAAATATCTTAGTGTGTTTTTACTTTGGAGAGGTGGTCAGGTGGAATGGGTGAGGCCCATCCTTTTTTAGATAGTCACAGGCTCACAGCTATATGTTTGGCATGAGGGATTCGAAGATTCTGTTTTTAAGGGATGATCGAAAGTAGGTGACCCGTATGTTGCCAGCGAGAGAAAAAATGGGTTGAATTGGTTCACCAGTTTTTTAAATATAAACTTATGCTAGATTTTAACTAGGGGAATATTCTCCTTAAAAATGATCATGTTCCACCACCTATCCCTGAATCTCGTCCCATCCTGTCACCTCATCCCATAACCAGATACACACTTAAGGACTTGCATGGGCAATACAGGGTGAGCTAGAATTTTTGTAGAGTTATGAGCAGTAGCACCCAATGTTGGACACTCATAGACGTACGTTACTATACAATTGATTTTTCTATACTACAGGCAGACCATAACTGCTCCCACCTACAAAAATCACTCCCCCAGGATCGGTTCAAAGGGTTCCATGAGAAAATGCATTTTAGCATACAGCCTCTTAAGAGGCCTGCGAAAATAGACTTATTTTTTCAGGTGAGCCTCTTAAGCGGTCGCATGCAAAAATTAGATTTCCGCAGACTTCTCCAGGCCCGCTTGCGAAAATCACTGCAAACTAAATATAAAAACTAAATCATCTCCGCTCCTTCAGCTCTCCTCTCTTATGCTATCCTTCCTCTTTCTCTCTCTCACTCTCCCTCTCCATCTCGTGCGCACGGCTGGAGCGTTGGGCAGGAGCGGCTGATGTCAGGCTTGAGCGGCGAGAAGCTCAGTGACTGAGGATCCATCACGAAGGACGGCGGGAGTGGCGGTGGTGGTGTCCTCGGACACCTTGTGGGGCTTGGTGTGGTGAATGCGAGATCCAACCAGAGCGATGAGCTCGAGGGCAGCGAATCCGGTGGCGCAGCCCTCGGGAGGGGTGGATCTGCCACTCTCAGCCCCGGGAGGGGTAATGACGATAGCGGGCGATGATGGTGGAGCTTGAGGGTGGTAGATCCGGAGGCGCCACCATCAGAAGGGGTGGATCCGCTAGCCCCTGGCCCTTATTGACGGCTGCTACAGTGACGACGATGGCAGTGGGCTACGGTGAGGAGGAGGACGACTGGTGATATTTCTTAACTACGTTATTAGAAATATAATTTCCAGCAATGGCGCCAAAATATTCTTGTTATATTATGGTCACAGATATGATCCGCGAGCGCATGGATATACTATTGTAGTTGTAGCATTTCACTCGGATGTATTCCAAGATATCGTATTTATTTAATCCCATGTGAAGATTGATAAGAGAGAACTATGCTAATAATTTATATATTACTTGTATACATCAAAGTCTATGCAGGGGTTAATTCATTTCAAGGGGTAGGTGAAACGAAGAAGGAAGAACCAAGTTACTCTCACTAAATAAATTCTAGGCTAAGTAGAGAAAGAATAAGAAAATAAATCATTCCTATACTTCTAGTATACAGTTATCTTTAGTTTACACTCGCTAGTATACAATCATGTAGCCAATACCCCCTAACTATGCCCTCCCGGTGTTTTGAGAGATCACTCCTGATTGCCGAGTTCCTTACGACAATCCGTCATGGCCATCCAACCAGAAATGATTACGAAGGAGTACCCATGCCAGGAAAGTGTCTTAGTACTATATACTAATGTGGAGAAAAACCCGTACTGAGCTGTCATCATCAGTGGCCCACCTCTACTGTCCCGTAGTATATAACCCCAAATAATGATATTTAATAATCTAAGCACCACACTTACATTATTAAATACTACTCTATATCCCCTAGAAAGATATAGAGCAATCATTCGCATAAACATTAAACCCACACCAATGCATATCTCTAGTAGCTAGCTACACAATTATATCGAGACAAGTATAAAGTAAAGTCGGCATTCAGATAATAAGAATTAAATAAAAAAGGAAACTGAATAAAGAAGAATATTTCATTAATTCTATAAGTCTTACAAAAGATAGAAGGGCTGCTAGAGCCATACCCGAAATCTCCTGAAGACTCGAGGACTAGGAAAACTATTCTAATTCTACTCCACTAGCACTAGAACAGTAAACTAAACTTTGGAGAGAGCTTGATCGAGTGTGTGAAGGAAGTGAGGAGGTGAGGTACTTTTATAGCTGCCAATGACGGTTACAGCGGTTGGAATAGTCAAAAATACCCCACAACCATCATTGGGGAGCAATCTGGAGCGTCCACGCCAATGCTGAGCATCAACAGTGGAGCTCAGGGTTCGGTCGAACCCTTGACTGGCCCATTTGGCCCACTTTTTGGCAAGTGTATCTCCTGGTGGATCCTCAGCCCAATAGTATGGTAGTTGGGCCCAATTGATGTTATTTCATTGGATTTGTGAGCCCTTCCAACCATAAGTTTTCCTCTCGACGGATTTTGAGTGATCGTTCGGTTGTTTTCTGTCGATTCTCCTTCATTTATGTTGGCAATCCCTGCAAACAAATAAAATCCAAGTACAAGTAGAGATAGATTATTCTAAAACAAATATGCATTGCAAGTATAGCTAGTTCTCCTTTATTCCAGTTATATTGACGGTCGAAATCGGTCTAAAACAACCGTCAACAACGACGACGACGCCTTGGGGAGTTAAGGTTTCGACCAATTTTTCGTTTTGGAATTTTTGTTTTGCCGAAATTATTTTTCCATGTGGTCGGTATAGGTGACCACATGCGAAAAATGAGATTTTCACATGTGGTTGCGTTGGCCGCATAGAAAAATGTGATTTTCGCAGACACCTGAATGCGTGCAAGCAGCTCAACCGCCTGCGCAAATCGATTTTGTAGTAGTGATAAAATGCTATTTATGCCGTCCTCCTTTCTCTTTTCTTTTTCTCGGTTTCCCACTTTGTTTCTTTCATGCTTTCAACAGTTGGATCACCAAGGTGAATATTTTATTAGATATCATTGGATGCTTGGGCTAAGACTAGTTATTCTCTTCATACTAGATCTAAAATATAATATAATATAATATAAGTACTTTTGAAACTGGGTATGGGTATTAAAAAGTGGGTAAAAAAGATTAGAGTGAAGTTGTGATTGGTTGAGAAGAGAAAGTAGGTAAATAATTTAAATGGAGAATGGTTTTGATTGATTGAGATAATGGGGTTGGTGAAGAAATAGGCTAGAGACTAGAGTGGTAGAAATAGCTTCATTAGGAACGAACAGAGTTTCCTTGCAGTGTTTAAGGCTAATACCATCTCTTTGCTCCCTGTCTTTCCTCCTGGGCCAGTTCAAACTACACGTTGTGTAATATAAGCTCTCATTCATGGTTGCAGTTGGTGATTTTTTTTCACCTTGCATCTATTACATGTTTTTTTTTTGCGGGGATGCATCTATTACATGTTGGTTTAGAAATTGCATATAATGAGACATAAAGATGTAAACAGTAAAAAATTCAAGTTACAATAATGAAAGTAAAAAAAATCAACAATCGTCCGATCCACACAAGCCGTGAAAACTTTCCATTTCCATGAAAAGCTCCCTTTCATTTTGACTCCACCATTTCTCTCATGCACTATACTGCGACCTCCTATGCTTCTCGTCACCTCTTCCCACATGTCGCCCCCCTGCCTTCGCCCATGACCACCTCCTCCCCCACTACCACCATCACCGCTGCCTCTTCCTCCCAATTGCCACCACTGCACCTTCTCCCTAGCACTGTCCACGGCCCTCTCCTCCCCGCGCTCCTTAGCCTTTCTTATCCCAGTAACCTCTGTGGCTCGCTAGCAAGTAGAGGGTGCCAAATTAGGCCTCTCCAAGGTCAAGGCCTGGAGGACGTGTGCTTCTGACGACCCTTGGATTCAGTAAAACCTCCCATCACCGCCACTTTTGAGGGAAGACCCTCGATAGCGGGGAGTCGTGAGACCCCCCTTTCGTGAGTTCGGCCGGGGGCAGAAGCTCGCCTCTTGGGAATCACGCGTTCGCCCCTGAAACTGCCGGCTAGCTTGCGCACAATCGGATTATACAGGTTCGGACCGCTATGGAGCGTAACACCCTACTCCTGTGTTTGGGATTATGTATGAGTTTTACAAGGGTTCCTCTACTCCGGAGAGTGCTATCGCCTTCCTTCTCCTAGAGTTCAGGTTTTCTAAGAGTCGTCCCCTTGTCTCGGTGGGCAAGGTCCTCCTTTTATAGCTCAAGGGGATACCACATGCGCCGCCTCTACCTACTCCCCCCCCATGGGAGGGGGACCCCACTCCACTTTGACTGGGTCTCGATCCATGCCTTCTCCCAGAAGCTAAGCAGCAATCGGTCCTTGAGTGGGACCTGGCGTCGTTCCCCGCCTGACACGGGAGACATCCCTGTCATTTGCTCATAAATGAGTGAACACTTGTGGCAACCCTTCTTCGAGTGATGCTCCGATGTGACAGGTCACACCTACCCCCACTCCGCCGGATACAGAGGCGACGTGGGAGCACGGCCGCCCGTTCAATCGGACGTGACCGGCAACAGGCCGGTCACAGACTGGTCACATCCGATTGATAGGGGTCAGTTAGGCGCGTTGCACATCTGCCCTCACCGCATTACACGCAGTGAGGGACAGTTGGGACGCCGCGTATTTATGGTTGTCCAGCCTGGGTCCCCCTCTCGCTCTCTCCCCCCACCACGCGGCAGCTGGGCGAGGGCCTCGGGGCGAAGCAGTGGGAGAGCCCGAGGGGGGGATGCCGCACCCCGAGGCCCCCCCCTGGCGCTTTCGCGACCCGCGAGGTGCGTGAGTGGGGCCAGCTTGCAGTGCCACGTGGCTGGACGGGAAGGTGACTCCCCTTTACTTCACATACCCCCGGGCCCATATCTCTGACAGAAGCCCCCGGCACCATATCAGACATTGGCTTCCTGAGATCAGTCTGACATGGTGCCTCACGACTTCTCAAGCTGGGGTTGTGGGCCCGGCGGGGAATCGAAAGGAATATTGCCGAGCGGCCAGGTTGGCGTGCCAACCATAGCAGCGGTTTGACCGCCACCGACCACGCTAATGATGAGGATGCTTGAGGCGCGATAACCGGGGGGTCGGTCAGACCACGCCTCGATTCCCTCGCCCGCTACTCCTGCGGCGGTTGTGGTGACTGTTCGCTCAGCTTGCGCTCATAGCCGTTGCGCACTCCACCTCGAGTGTGCCACTGACAGGCGCACTAAAGGCGGGACGCGGATACAACGGGTCACGTGATGAGTGGGCGTGGGAAACGAAGAGACAACTGCGGGCGCGAGGATCGTGGGGGCAATTATGAGGGCGTGAAACGAGGAGGTGAGCGCGGATGAGGCAAGGATAAAAGGGGGACGGAGGCAGGGACTTTGCCTCCTTCCTTTCGCCAACCGCCCGCTCGTCCTTTCGCTCCTCGAACCCTAACATTCTCGCCACTTCACACTGTTCCGCGCGCCACGCTCTTCGCCACTGCTCCGCCGGCCACCATGGCTCAAGACGCTGGCGACACAGTGCTCCCTTTTTCCCGCATTACGGCAGACAGGCACCTTAGCCTCCCCCGCAAGATCATGCCGGATGGCGCCGTCGTGAGGGCGGTGGAGTCGCGGCCGCGGCCGCGATATCCGGAGCGGTCCGTGCACCTCTTGTCCTTCGCCATGGCGGGCTTAATTCCGTCGTTCTCCAGATTTTTCCATGAGGTTCTGGATTTCTACGAAATCCATGCCTTGCATCTCGCACCCAATGCCGTGATGACGCTGGCCATCTTTGTGCATCTGTGCGAGATGTTCATCGGGGTGCGGCCGACGATGCGGCTGTTCCAAGCCTTCTTCATCCCGCAGCTGCTGCAAGGTGCGGTGGTGGGGGGATGCTACTTCCAGCCCCGGCCAGGCACGGCGGGGCAGTACATCGAGAGTCATCTCCGCAAGAAATGGGAGGACTGGAAGAAGGACTGGTTCTACACCGCGTTGCCGGACCATCCGTGACTTCGGGTTCCCGCTGGTCCTCCTGAAAGATCCGCCGCATGGCTAGCGGTTTCGGAGCTGGGCGAGGAATACGACGCGGTGTGGGATCGCCTCAGGGGTCTGCGAAGCCTGGGCCTCACGGGGGCAATGGTCTTTGGCGATTACATCCGCCGCCGCATCGCACCTCTCCAGGAACGATCCCGTGGCGCGTGGGAATACACTGGTCCCAACGACCCCATGCGCACGCATGTGGGCGAGCGCTGGGACTGGGGGGAGGAGGACGCAAAGATGGTGCTGGTGCTGGGCCTGGACTCCGCCAAGCAAACGCTAATCCCAGATGGGATCCTCCCCCTCTACTGCGACCGCGACCGGGAGAGCATCCTGGCCGTGATGTCAGTTGTTGGCGCCGGTAGGAGCCGGTCCAGCCGAGGCGGCGCCAGCGGTAGCGCCGTTGGCGCGGGTGGCGGCGGCGCGACTGCGGGTGGGAGCCGGACAAGCGGTCCAGGCGGTGGTGGCTCAAGGGCGCCCGACTCGAGCCGCGGACCTGGAGACGACTTGGTCGGCGACCCAAAGGGGAAGCGGAAGGTGCCCGAATCCCGGCCGCCCTCTCCCCCGCGTGGAGGGGGCACCGAGCACGCGGCAGATCATCCGCCAGCGGGCCACAAGCGCCCTGCCGGGCCCGAGGTCGGACGGAAGAAGAAACGGGTCCGAAAGATAGGGCAAACGGAGCCGAGCCGAGGGAGCTTCATCGAGACCCCGAAGTGGACTTTCAACCGCCCTCCCCGTAGGTACGATTGCTGGCACCTACTTCGGTGCTCTTACCCAGCTCGGCCTCTTGTTCCCTCCTTTTCTTTTTCATTGTTAACGCGATCTGGGTTCTCTTGTAGCGAGATTCCTTCTCAGGGGGTCTCAGGGTCGGAGCCTTCGTGGGGGACGAAATCCGAACGATCGGAACGGTCCGGGCCCGGCCAATCCAAGGCCGCGGGGTCTTCGCAGCCTCGCAGTGGGACCCACAGGCCACATACCGGGCCTGGTCCCGAGCGACCCTCAGCCGGGACTCGACTTGCTGCGGGCAACGGTAGCGGCGACGTTCCTCCCGGGGGCGGCTGTGAGACTAGGGTCCATGCGGAACGCCACCCAGGATCGGGGGGTGAGGGAGGTCGCAGCTCGGGAGCCGAGGCCGGAGGTGATCCTGAGCCCGAGGTCGAAGTCAAGGCTGGGGGCGGTCCCGAGTCCGAGGTCAAGGTCGAGGTTGGGGGCGGTCCTGAGCCCGAGGTCGAAGTCGAGGCTGCCCGGTTGGCCCCCCAGTTCACCTTTGGGCTCGCCTCGGATGAGGAGAGCGGAAGTGGGGGTGACGACGACAACGTGGGCGACGAAGACTGGGACGACGTCGTCAGCGGCGCCGGCCTCGGGGGCCTGGGCACCCCGTGACCATTCGCGCTTTCAATTCCCTTTTGTTGTGTGCCCGTGGCGGGCACTTCTTGTATTTAGGCCATCGTGCCGTCCTATCTTGTTCTGCAACTGAAACTTCCTTAGCCCCTTTTACTCATTTGCTTTTTCCATTGGATGTCTGTGACATAGAGAGAAGAAAGAACCAGAGCAAAACGGGTATAATTAATCTGCCTGTGATCAAAATGCCGTTTTGACCCCATCCTCCCCCCCTCGGGCTTGTTCTAGCGAGAAGGTAAATCCGCGCTCGGTCCATGGTACCTAAGTGGTGATAGGCAAGACCGTCGCCCCGAGGGAGCCGCCCATTGGGACTAGCCAGACCGAGGCTGCGACGACCGGGGGTCAGGGACGGCCGTGTGTAGGCCCTTCCGATCCCCCGAGGTTCGGCGCAACCCGGGGCGCGGCCCGCGTTCGTGCTCCCTTTCGGAGGTTTTCAGGCCGCCCTACGGCACTTAGGGTTCAGAGTAAACGCGGATTATCCCTTAAACCAGGTCAAGCCAGAGGAAGAGAATAGACGGTCTTCACAAAAAGTAGAAAAATTCACTTCTTGCAAAAGGAAAAAAGGATACACAGTGGTAGCCCCCGGCCAAGCCCGCACAAACCAAGGGGTTGTGCGGGGGTTGGCCCGAGCTCCTGGAAAGCAAAAAATCTCGATGCTATGGATAGAAACGACGGAGGTGTTCGATATTCCAAGGGTTAGGCAACTCTGTGCCGTCCTCCGTGGTTAACCGAACGGAGCCTGGCCGGGGCACGCCGATCACTTTGTATGGCCATTCCCACATTGGCGAGAGCTTGCTCAGCCCCAGGCGCGATTGGACGCGGCGTAGGACAAGGTCGCCAACTTGTAGTGATCGGGCCCGGACGTGGCGCTGATGGTAGCGTCGTAGGCTTTGCTGGTAACGCGCGGCACGCAGGGCCGCACGCCTACTCCGTTCTTTGAGATAATCGAGATCGTCGCGGTGAAGGTCATCCTGGTTGGCCTCATTGTACAGCGCGACGCGAGGCGACCCTAGGGAAAGCTCGGAGGGTAGGACCGCTTCGGCGCCGTACAACAGGAAAAATGGCGTTTTGTCACGACCGGAAATAACCCAACGGGCGTTCCTTACGTGCGTGCATTAATCCTTGTCCCAGGAGGCAAGGTACACCAAAAGTTGATACAATTCAGAGTTTAACAAGCGGAAGCGTAAATAGTTAATTTATTACATGGGCAGCGAAGGCCCAGCACACACAAAGACAAACGAGAAACAGCGGAAGACTAGGGCAACGACCACAGGCACTTGACGGCAGGCACGAGCTAGACACCAAAGCCTTCATCCTCCAGGAACTCCTCTTCTGGGTTTGGGAAAAATTGAGCAAGACTGAGTACAACCACCGTACTCAACAAGACACACCCACAAGTGCAGAATAAATGCAAGGGAGTACAAAGGAGTTATACTATAAAGGGTTAGGGTTGCAGTAAACAGCATTTAAAGACATTAGTTGCTCAGGGCTATTTTGCAAACACGATTCTAGTACTATACAATATTATTTATCAAGGCCGTGAACCTACACGAACCTGCCTTAACCCAAGGCCTACGATGATTCAGACCGAACTGGCAACCCGACCCTGGGTCCCAGCTCGTCCCAAGCCAACCCAGGCCAACCATTCCACATTTTAGTTGTTAAGCAGGTTTTAAGAATTAAAACACTAACTTGGGTACATTGCTCGGCTTGCCCATAACCGAGGGCGCGGCTATTCGAATAGATTATACTCTGATCAGAGGTGTACATCTTTACCCACAAGACACATCTTCCTCACGTGTAACCACGTGCCACATACCACCACGGTATACAGACGAAAGACGTGACATAGTTTCCAACCCATCCTAGCCATAGACAAGAGTACCGACCCAATCCCACCTATGGCCGGAACACCCGGGACAGGTAGGCAGGACTGAGCCCCTAGCAGCAGGACACCGGCCCTGTGCCATGACATCTCGACTACCGGGCAGCAGCTCGTGTAGCCTTCATTTGTCCTAGAGATGTCCATCGACCCCCGACTTCTTCCATCTCCATCCGTGAACTTTTGTTTATAACTAGACTGAGCCACAAACTAAGCCTTACCCACTAGACATGTGGAAGTACGGTAGTGCTTTGCAACAGAGGCCCGAAGACCGGCCCTTATATGGCCGAGGTGCTACTATCAAAACCATGCACCCCGAGCCCAGCCTAAAACCATTTTTGGGGATTTTGAATAGAAGGAGCGGTGTGAAGCCAATTCCACAATAACCAAACCATTCCATGGTGTCCAGGTGATATGAATATTCCCAAAGTCTAGAGTTGAAAAAAACCCACCTAATGTTACCTAATTAAAAGCGAAGCATCTACCTAAAATCATACTAGTGATACCATGAGTAGAGTGTCCACTAGTTGGGGTTTTGTTTATTCTAGGGTGAACAAGGAAATAATAACAATAACAATAATAATAAGGTCATAACAAAGGTAAATAGGCATGGCTAAATAAAACGGTGATAACGCGGGAATTTAAATAAAGCGATAATGCAATAAGTGAAATCAACATAATTTTACAAACTGGGATTCAATATGTTCAAAGATGATGTGACTTGCCTTGCTCGCTTTCCCAAACGTCGGCTTCAACCTCCACGAAGAGCGGATCTTCCGAAGCTACAGCGTCTACACGACCAACGGAAAAGAAACGGCTTTTACTCTACTAAACTCCATATAACAAGCAGAAACAAAGCACAAAAATGGGTTCTTGGCTTCTTAAGGAAAAATTAGAGACTTTAACGGTCCAATTCCGAGTTCAAATGGCCAAGTTATGGCCATTTGAAGTTTATATGCTCTTTAAATGGATATTTACGAATTTCTTCATTTAAATTTTAATTTAAAAACATATTTATTGCGTCAGCCGGGAGAGAGGAGCGCGCGGACCGGGTCCACGGGAGTGGGGCCCACGCGGCAGCCTCTCGGTCCACGGTGGACCGGGAGCACGCGGCTTACGCCGGCCGGCGCCGTGGGTCCCACGCGTCAGCCGCACCCGAGGACGCGGGCGGCTGACGGCCGGGCCCCACATGGCAGCCGCGGGGCGCGCCCGAAGGCGGCCTCGCCGGCACAGCCGACGGGAGGCGACGCGCCCGCACCCCTATGGTCGCCGGCGGCCATAGGCACGGCGGAGCGGCGGCCGAGAGAGGGGAGGGATGGGGGAAACGAAATGGGCGGTCCACGGCTCACCCCGGGTCGACGACGACGACGGGAACGGCGACCGGAGCGGAAGAAGGCGGCGGCGCGGCACGGGTCGACGGGGACGGCGGCGTTCCGGCGGTCGGCGGGCGAAACGGAGGGGTGGACGAGGTCGGTGAGGACGCGGCGGAGCTGAAGGAGGCGACGCCGAGGCGGGAGAAGGTCCGAGGCAACGACGGCGGCGGACCGGAGCTCGGCGGTGACGGCGGAGAGAGAGAGCGACGGCGCGAGCTCGATTCCGGCGGAGAGAGAGCGGCGAGTGGCGGAAACGGTGGAGGGAGGCACGGGGAGCGTTTATATAGTGTTGGGAGTGAGAGAGGGCGGCCGGGGGAGAAGGAAACCGGCGCGGCGCTCTCGGGCTCCATCAATGGCGCCGGCGAGATTTGCGGGGGCAAATCCGCCCGTTTGAACGCGAGAGAGAGAGGGAAAAATGGGGGGAAAGGGAGAGGGAATCACGGGGAATGATTTCCCCCTCTTTATTGCGCGCGGGGACGGCGGGAGGCGGCGGGATTCGCGGCGGCGGCGGCGCTAGGACACGGGCGAGGCGGCGGGAGCGGCGGGAGGTAGGGGATGACGGGTTGGCCCCACCCGTCAGCGAGGGTGGCGGGCAGGCCCGCCCGTCAACGGCACGCGCGCGGGGAGGAGGCCGATTGGGCCGCGGGGGAGAGGAGAGAGAGGGAGGGAGGTGGGCCGAGCCGGCCCAAGAGGGGAAGGGGGAAAAAGGACTTTTTAGGGTTTTTTTTTCTTTTTATAAAACCTTTCTAACTTTGTTTATTTCTTAATAATTATTATTTGTGCTCTGAAAATTCCACTAAAATTTATTTACGCATTTTAGGCTTTTAGGAAATATACAAAAATCCTCCAAGCCTTATTTGACTTTTAACTTTGCACATTTTAATTGTTGGAGGCTTTCACATGGATTTTACTTATTCTATGCATAATTTTGATGATGTATTTTAGAGTCGTTTTGGGACGCGACAAACCTACCCCCCCTTAAACGGAATCTCAACCCCGAGATTCGGAAGAACTGGCGAAGAGATCAGGATGGGCTGCCTTCAGCTCGTCTTCACGCTCCCAGGTAGCTTCTTCTTCGGCGTGGTTGCTCCACTGGACCTTGCAAAAACGGATTATCCGGTTCCTGGTCCTGCGCTCCATGGTGTCCAGGATTTTCACTGGCCTCTCCACGTAGGTCAAGTCTTCGCGAACTTCAATTTGCTCTGAGTCGGCCTGCTCGGATGGCACTCGAAAGCATTTCTTGAGTTGCGACACATGGAACACATCATGCACGTTGCCCAAGGAGGCGGGCAGCTCCAATTGGTAAGCGACTTCTCCGTGTCGGGCAACGATACGGAAAGGACCCACATACCGAGGTGCGAGCTTCCCTTTTGTCTGAAACCTGTGTACACCCCGCAATGGCGTGACCCGAAGATACACAAAATCGTCCACTGCGAATTCCAGGTTACGGCGACGGTTATCTGCATAACTTTTCTGCCGGGACTGTGCCACCTTTAGATTATCCCGAATGGTTCTGACTTTAGCTTCAGCTTCTCTCAGGATATCAGTCCCGAACACTTGGCTTTCCCCAACTTGATCCCACAAGAGCGGTGTCCGGCATTTGCGCCCATACAACGCTTCATAAGGTGCCATTTGTATGCTGGCTTGATAGCTGTTATTGTAGGAGAACTCGGCATAGGGGAGACTCTTATCCCAGGTCTTCCCGAAATCCAGGACACATGCGCGAA